GGAGTTCAGTTGTTTACCTAAGCCGCCATCATCGAGTTGGCCTTTTTGAAAACCCAGACAGGGCTTTAATCCAGTTAGTCTAACTCTGGAGCCCAACCTTTGCCTGATATAGTCTAGTATGTCATCTTCAAGCATCGAGTAATCTATGAAGTTAAAGACATTTGCACAGATTTCAAAGGCGCGTTGAGAGAGAATCCAAGATAGTTGCAAAGGTAAACACCTAGTCGCAGCCACACACAACAATTTCAATAAAATACAACTAACATAAAATGGACATTAACCAGAACTACAGGAAAGTCTACTGACTGGAAATTCTACAACGAGAAGCAAGGAGAAAGCCAGAAGGAAGAGCGGAGGAGCTGTAAAAGCCTGAGGTACGAAGACACGCGGCGCGCGCGGAGAGGACGGAGCCGGAGAGGAGGGGCGGCTGAGTGCCTGGCTGGCGTTCCCTAGCAGGAAGGAGATAAAAGCTCTGATTGTGCTGAACCCCAGACCCGACAGCGCTGAACCCCAGTTCTAGGCCAGATCCTGGGGACCCAGGTTCATACAGAGGGAGCCGGGGTTGTGAGGCGGAATTCCAGGGGAGCGGCCAAAGGCAGAGCCCCCAGAGGCGCGCACATTGCGCACAGAGGACGGACTGTTGACTCTGCTGCTAGATTGCCCTGGCAGGAAGGAGACAAAGGCTCCGGACTGTGCTGGGCCCCAGTTTCGAGTGTTCTGAACCCCAGTTCTAGGCCAGACCCCCAGGGACCCAGGCTCATACAGAGGGAGCTGGGCTGTAAGGGGGAACCCCGGGGGAGCGGCGGAAGGAGGTCCCGGAGGTGCGCAGAGAAGGGACGGTTGGCTGTGCCATGGGATTGCCCTGGCGGGAAGGAAACAAAAGCTCTGGACTGCACTGAACGTTACCTCCAACTCCACTTCCAACTGAACTGAACCCCAGTTCTGGGCTCATTGGGGGAGAGCCTAGACTGTTCTGTAGCAGGCGAAAATCGAGGGCACCTCACTCTCAGAGGTGCTTGCAGCGGGTACTGAGGGATCCTGGGGATTACTGAGACTCAGGAGCCACATAGGGGGAGGCTGACAGAAGCCACGGCTGTAGGCTCCACCCTGAAACCCCGCCCCATCAGGGAAGCTACGAAAATGCCGAGACAACAAAATAGATCACAAACGAAAGAAATGAGGACAAAAAGCAACTGGATATAGAGTTCAAACCTACGCTTATAAGGTTTTTCAAAAATTTCCTAGAAAAGGTCAATAAGACCTATGAGGATATGAAAAAGGATCAACTAGAATTAATAAGGAATCAACAACAAATGATAAGGGGTCAACAAGAAATAAAGAATACATTGTCTGAAATAAAAAATATTATACAGACTCCTAAAAACAGAATGGAAGATCGCAAGAATCAAGTCAAAGATTTGGAACATAAGGAGCCAGAAGACACTCGTCCGCAGAAGTAAGAAGGCAAGAGAATCCAGAAAGTTGAAGATAATATAAGAAACCTCTGGGACAACTTTAAGTGAACCAACATCAGAATTATGGGGTTCCCAGAAGATGAGAGAGAGCAAGATAGCAAAAATATATTGGAAGAAATAGTGACAGAAAGCTTCCCCCATCTAGTGAAAGAATTAGACTTACAAGTCCAGGAAGTGCACAGAACTCCAAACAAAAGGAATCCAAAGAGGACCACACCAAGACACATCATAATTAAAATTCCAAGAGCAAAAGACAAAGAGAGAATATTAAGAGCAGCAAGAGCAAAGCATGTAGTTACCTATAAAGGAGCACCTATACGATTGTCAGCTGATTTCTCAACAGAAACTATGCAGGCCAGATGGGAATGGCAAGAAATATTCAAGGAGATGAATAGTAAGAACCTACAGCCAAAAATAATCTACCCAGCAAAGCTATCACTCAGAATCGAAGGCCAGATAAAGATCTTCATTAATAAAGAAAAGCTAAAGGAGTTCATCACCACCAAACCAGAATTATATGAATTGCTGAAGGGGGTTCTTTCAGAAGAGAAAGTAAATAAAGATAAAAATTATGAACAACAAATACGCAACTATCAACAAGTGAATCTAAAAACCAAGGAAATTTTTTTAAAAATCTGATGAACAATTTTAACTGTTGAATATAATAGAATCAGAGGTATGGAAGGGGAGTGAACTGACGATTCTTGGGTAAAAGGGGAGAGGGGGATGTGGGAAAAGACTGAACATTAACTGTGCACCTATGGGTGAGGACAATGGGGGGTGGGGAAAGAGCAGAGAGTGGGGTGGGAACCTGGTGGAGGAGAGCAATGGAGGGGGTGTGGGGAAGAGGAACAGTTGTAATAATATGGACAATAAAAATTTATTTGAAAAAAAGACATTTGCACAAATAAAAGATAATGTACAATCTTATAATTGCTATAAAAGAGACACAAGTAAAATGCATTCAATGGGGAAACCAGAGAAGGCTTCAAGGAGTCTATGGCACTTGACATGGACTTTGATTGTTTTGCTCTTGTGGCATTAGGGGAAAGGTCATAGTGGTAACAGTGTGAACAGAGGCACAGCAAAAGGAAAAAATGGGTTGTTCATGAGCCTTTCTCCCCACTTGGAATACCAAAGAGAGAGACTCAATCACAGTTTCTTCTACCAGCAGATTTTAGGATGTGTTAAAGGGTGAAAGGAGACTCACAAGAGCTTGTGGTGTTAGTCCTGTTATCCTAAGAGATAGCTAAGATGAAGGAAATGTCAAGTGGAGTAGACAGAGGCAACAGCAGTGGGGCAGTGAAAGCCATAGTTCATGGTGACTGGTTGGATGTGAAGGACAAGGGAGAGAGTGAAGACCCAAAGATGTTTAAGGGTTTGAATCTGAGAGAGCAGGAGGGTAGAATAATGGTAATATGTTAACAAATAGGAACAAGATAATGTTTGAAGAAGATGATTTCAGATTCTGTTTTAAACATTTGAGTTAAGGTTTTAGTAGGGTATCAGGTAAAAGTTACCGGTATGTCTGAATTAAAGAAAACCATCTGGATAGAGAGAGATACTACAGGCACATCTGCTTGTAGTAATAGATGGACTATTTTAGGTATGAGTTCCTGAGCGGAAGAGGCAATAGAAAAGGGAAGAGGATATAATTTGGGAGCCACAGAAGGATGGTGTTATATGGCAGAAGCACAAGGTTTTAAGGAGAGAATTGGCAGCAGGCATTAGCAATGAGATTAAAGAGAATGAGCACTGAAGATGTCAGTTCTCTTCTGCTTCTATCACCTACATAATGTTCCAGGTTGATCTTCTTGAGATGGAGCTCTGATCATGCCATGACTTTGAACAGAATTCTTTCCAGTAAATCTACTGCATATTGAATTAAACACAAGTTATGGTTAATATTTGATATTAACCATATATTAATAACTCATTCTTGTCACATGTTTCTGACCTACTTATCCTTTAATCATACTATGTAGAGCCAAAACTGAAGTTTGAAATTTTTGTTTCTTCTTCTGTTCTGTGACTTTGCTTAAACTGTTCACTCCCTAGACAACTATTCCTTCTTATCTCTGGTTGAAACCCTCCTACTTCTGGAAGGCTCTTCTCAAATTTCCTCTTCTTTCCTGAAGCCCTTCTTAATCTCCAGTTTCTTGCAGTGGTTTAAATCTCTGCTTTAAACCATTGACTACTCAGTGTTTCCCCTCTGTCACTAGAATTGGCCCCACCTTGCATTTGGGGTGCTTATTCCTGTCATCAAACTGCAGGCTCCTTGTTTGTTTTCTCCGCCCATCTGGCACAGTGCTTGGTAAATACGATGTTTCTCTTTTTTTTAAAATTGTGTCTTAAAGCCTATTATATTCTTTTGGATATGTCACTAATCCTCTGAGCATTATTCCCCTCGTCTGTGAAATTAAAGGGTTACATTTTATTTTAGTCTTTTCACATTTTCATCACAGTTGTCTTCCTGAAAGCAAACCTGATTTTATCATTATTTTACTTCAAAATCTAAGATAAGCTTCTTGGTTTGGCATACAAGTCTGTATCATCAGGACTCTTATTAGAGGTTACAGAAACGCAAATTGACTAAAACAGAAAGAGGAATTTATTGGCTTGTATTATGGAGAAGCCTGGGGCCCCATCTGTATCAAGAATGACTGAATCCAGGTGCTCAAACAATATCATGAGACATCTACCTCTACCCATCTCCCAGCAATTTTAAAATTTGATTTTACTTTCTAACAAGTTCTACCTATAAGGTGACAGAAATGGCTAGTAGTAGCTTTAGCAATCTCTTTTTGGCCCAGCTTGAGGTCCTTGCTTAATCCTGGAACAAACAATGTGTCAAAGAGATGGAGTACTTTGATTCATTAGACCTTGGTGGCCTGTCTATAGAAGGGGGAAGGGACACCAACTCTACCTAAACTACATGGACCGACACGGGAGGGAGGGTTTTCCATACAGGCTCCCACTGATCTCTTGCCTTGTCTGACATTTTGCCTCACACATCTCAGGCTCTAACTTTACTAAACTTTGCAACAGTTCCTGAATACTCCTTTACTCTTATAACTCATTCTTGTGACTTTTGCCTGAAGTGTCTTGTCTCAGCCTTCCTTTGTTTCTTACTAGAAAAATCTTTTTTATTTTATTTTTTGTCATTTAGGACCTTGTTAAATGGTCCCTCTGCCAAGGGTCCTTTTCTGTCTTATGACCTTTAGTGGTACTTCTCTCTCACTATTCCATGCTCTGAGGATGACAACTCTATTTGTTGTCTTCACATCCCTAGGCCAGAGTGTGCTGCTGCCAAGTATACAATAGACCTTTAAATTTTTAGAAAATAATTTTATTTTAAAAATAATATTTTTAGATTTCTACATTAAATTATATGGTTTTTCAAATTTGTTGAAAATAGATAACAAATATTAACTTAAGGACAGTGTTTTGTCAGGGCACTATTTTAATGAGTCTTAGTTTTAAATGTCTGCTTCAGTAATTCATGTGAATCTTTCTTTTTTATAGAGGACCCACAGACATGAATTATTTACTCCTCCAGTGATAGGTTCTCATCCTGATGAAAGTGGAAGCAAATTCCAGGTGAGAGCATTATTCTAATTATTTAGGGGGTGTAAGTATACAAATTTAATATTTATTGTTTATTATAATTTACTGAATTTTTAATGAAAATGAACCACTAGTAACTGTTGAACTAGCTAACTGACCTGTGCATGCCCACTGTCTATACCCTATGTCCTGAGTCCTGCAAATCTCTATTAAAAGCAATGACTTCCTTCTTTGAAGCAAGCCCTGGGATTGTGTAGCCCCCAGAGAGTCTCTGGAACCAAGACAGATCCCTAGTCCTCCCAGTCCATTTGCTATTTGCTCTACTGGCTCTCTGTCCAACTCTCAACATTACCCTTTGCTCTCACTCATACTCCAAAATACTGGTCCTTGTCCAGCCCAGCCCTCTAGTGACCACCACACAGTCAACTAAAATGTACTATATCAGTTGGAATGAAACCTTTATATGGACACTAAAGAACATTTATAGAATGAATGAGGTGTCACAGGAGGCCACAGGGCTGTTGGGATCCGAGGAGCAGAGGTAAAAGGGAGAGTTTCTTTCATGTGTGCTCCTTCCACTTTTATACCTTGGAAAGTGATTACCAACCAGTACTCTCGCTTTTGTTCCAGCAACACAATCACTGTCAGCCTACCTATGGCTCTCTTTCTCTCTCCAGCACACAGAACCCTGCAGTGGGAATATCCCTTAGCTACTGTGTCTGGGCCATACCATTTCTGCAAGGTTCCAAATAGGTTCTAAAGAGGCCCAGCCTCTTCTAAGATTCACCAAATTCTCTACCAAGATAGAAGAGAAATCATGATGATGAGTAGTCTCATAGATACTAAAACAATAGTACTAGATAATGCTCAAATTAATGCTTGATGACAGCACTATTCATAGTGTTTGATAGTTTTTGCTTTTAATTTTTATTAAGAAAAATAGTATAATTTTCAAAATTTATATTACATATATTTTTCAAATCCTACCTAATAAAAGAATAATAAGCAAATTAAACATCACTCTGCTACACCCATAAGCCATGCCCCCCAGCCAATTAGAGTGAGTATGAAAATTAACCCCAACCAAGATGGCTTCCGCCACAGAGAGCAGTTGAGAGGCTTTGTTTCCCAGGCAATAGAGGAAGCCAAGCTTTCCACACACCCTGGCAGGCTTAGGCCTCCACTCAAGGATACAAAGTTTCAATTATAGAAGATACATGAAACCAAACAGAAATGGCAGCAGCCAAGTGAGCAGGGGGCTTGGTTCTGCTCCAGGCTACAAAGTTTCAATTGTAGAAGATAAATAAATCCCAGATACCAGGACCTCTGCTTGGGTCGCCAGGGAGTGTGGTTGGCCTGCCTTATGACTTCTTGGTGGTACTTCTCCACAGGCCCCTCGCTCAGGCCACCCCACACCCCAAGAGAAACCCCACCCTGATCTGGGACACCCTTCAGGGCAAACCAGCTGGCCCCACCGTGCACTAGGCCTCTATCCTACCTAATAAAGGAGTAATATGCAGATTGACCATCACTTCAACACACAAGATGGCTGCCCCCATGTGGTCAAAGATCCTGCTCCTTTGTGGACACAAGATGGCCGCCACAAGATGGTCATCAAGGGAGGGCAGTTGGGAGGCACCAGGCCTGCAAGAGAGGACAATTGAGAGGGACCAGCTTGCAAGGGAGGGCAGTTGGAGGCGATCAACCCTGCAGGGGAGGGCAGTTAGGGGTGACCAGGCTGGCAGGGGAGCAGTTAGGCTTTAATCAGGCTGGCAGGGAAGTGGTTAGGAGGTGATCAAGTTGGCAGGCAGAAGCGATTAGGGGCAATCAGGAAGGCAGGCAGGCGAGCAGTTGGGAGCCAGCAGTCCTGGATTGTGAGAGGGATGTCCAACTGCCCATTTAGACCCGATCCCTAAACAGGCAGTTTAATATCCCTCAAGGGGTCCCAGATTGGAGAGGGTGCAAGCTGGGCTGAGGGACAACCCCCACCCTGTGCACGAATTTCATACACCTGGCCTCTAGTATAAATATATATGAGGATAAATATCTTTATATTTGTGTAAATATACATATATTAATGGTCTCCTATAGCAACTTTGATACCCACAGTCCAGAAGCAATATTTCTCCTTTCTACAAAAGTAACTTTAAGGCTTAGCTAAATAATTTATTTTTCTTTTCAGTCTTTCCAAGTTATTTAATTTTGAATCCCTGGTTGTAAGTTCCCTATTTGAACTAGTACTTATAATACCTATATGGTGGTCTCCCATTAGAGACTGCAAAAATGGTGTCCTTAGGAATCTTTTCTTGCAGCTTTGATTCCCTGTGTTGCTTATTTCCTTGATCAGTTGATTGAGTGATTGATTTTATGTGAATTGCAATATTTTCCCCAGTTTTTAAAGTTTATTTTTATTGTATTTTCATAACTGTCTTTTTTAAGAACCTAAGTCCTTAATTTTGTTGAGGTCCAACTATTTTTTTTTTTATTGGATATTTTTGGCGTTGTGTCTAAGAAATTTTTACCTAATCAGTTTTAGGTTACAGGTTTGATATACTTAATTTATTTATTTTGTATCTTTTTCTTTATACTTATCTCTAAGTATATCACTTTTTTTAAACTATTTTAAATGTACATTATACTTCTGTGTTGTGTTAGGTCCATGATTTTTTTAAGAACTCCAGTATCAAATGTTAACAGTAATTATTATGGGCTGATAGGGTTACACATGCCTTTATTTCTTCCTTCTCTATATTTAAATTTTTTTCCCTATAGTAAATCTCTATTCTTTATAATAAAAAGCATTATGTGGTAAAGAGAAAAGAAGCTCTACCTTGTAATTCCTATAAAAATGAAAAATTAGATGCCCTTTCATCCAGCAATTGTTTAACTTTTTTTAGGTTGAAATTACATTTTCTAAGTTTTAATTTATTTTCTGTAAAATAGTTATAAATACATATACAAAATGAAATGCTACTCAGCCTTAAGAAAGGATGAAATAGGACCATTTGCAACAACATGGATGGACCTTGAGAGCATTATGCTAAGTGAAATAAGTCAGTCAGAAAAAGCTAGAACTATATGATTTCACTCATATGTGGGATATAAAACTGAAATTCATGAAAACACACACAAAAGATTAGTTCCTTTAAAATAATTTTTTAAAATTTATTAATTTGAGAGAGAAACGGGGGTGGGAGGGAAGAGTTGAATTTTTGTTTCACTTATTAATGCTTTTATTAGTTGATTCTTGTATGTGCCCTAACTGGGGATTGAACCACAACCTTAGCATATCAGGATGATACTCTAACCACCTGAGCTACACAGCCAAGGCAAAGGTTAATTTCTTAAAAGAATATATTTTCAGTCTTTATGAATTTATTTTGTTTTATTTTAGCTTAAAACAATAGAAACCCTATTGGGCAATACAACCAAAATTGGAGATGTAATTGTTCTTGGAATGATAACACAGTTAAAAGAGGTAAGTTAAACTTAATAAGCATCATACTTTTATGTGCCCCCTTCAGATTAATGAAATGTAGTTACATATAGCATCTCTAGAGAGGTACAGGAGTATAGTCTTTTTAAAAAATATACACATTTTTTTTAAATTGATTTTAGAGAGGGAAAGAAAAATAGAAACATCAGTGATGAGAATCATTGATCGGCTGCCTTCTGCACACCCCACACTGGTCAGGGCACATTCTCACATGTGCCCTGACTGGGAATCGAACCATTACCTTCTGGTTCATTGGTCAACGCTCAACCACTGAACGTTGGGCAGGAGCTGGGCAGGAGCATAGTCTTCATTAATGGTTCATACCTCAGTCACTAAGGAGCCTTTTTATCTGTATTTGGTTTCTTGGAAGACATTTGGAAGGAGTATCTTATACAGGTTAACAGATTTCATAATCTGCAGTTAGTCTCCCAGTGTCCTCTGGCTGTACTGAGAGTACTGAGTTTCTGAACAAACAAAACTGCAGTCCATATCCTGGTTCTTGGAGACTCTGTTGACTCTTTTAGGTGAAGGCACTTGGTGAGGTCCAATGGCAGCCAACAAGTGTCCTCTTGCCATCTCCTGATCTTCAGTGGTCATTCTCTGAGTATCTAGGTGTCTAAGTCTCAATTAAGTGATTTGTCTGACATCACCAGATTAGTAAATGGAAAAGCCTAGACTAGGAATTGTTGATTTTTTTTAAGTATACTATACTCTCTACTATATTCTGTTGTCAAAATTGTCAGTATTTTAATTATTTTATTATTATATTCATTTTTACATAATTATGGACATAAGTCTTTTATTTTGTTTTTAGGGAAAATTTTTTCTGGAAGATCCGACGGGCACGGTACAACTGGATCTTAGTAAAGCTATATCCTTCACTTTTATTTTCTTTAACCTATATCCTTTTATTTTTTTTAATCTTCAAGTTAGGGAAATTGATTATATATCATTCCCAATTTTAACTATTTGGTTTTCCGGTATAACTTTCATATGGTGGTGGTGTAGGAATTTACTGTAGAAACACAATCCTAAATAGAAACAAAACAAAAAAAACTACTTCCCTCTTATCTGGAGAGTGCAGACAAATCACTGAGAAAGTTTATAACATGCCAAGAATGATTTATACTGTCAGTATTACCAGGCTACATCCTAGAATCAGACATAGGTACATTTCAACCTAAAAAAATTTTAAAGTGTGATCTAGTCATAGTTTCAAATGTGAAGTCTTTAATTATTGTTTAGAAATCTTGTCAGGCCCAGAATGTGTGTTGACTATCACTACCTCAACATAGAAATAAAATTATTTTTCTCAACTGTGTGTACCAGTTCCACAGTGGTTTATACACAGAGTCATGCTTTGTCTTAGCAGAAGGTAAGTCAGTACTCATCATTCTACAGTAAAACCATTTCTACATTGTTTAAAATATGTAAACATGGTATAATTTGGGAGAATAGCAATCATAAGAGCATACTTTTGACAACTTAAAATGACTCTCAGTCTGCTAATTGGCACAGGTTTCTTTTTGGGTTGATGAAAGCACTCTGAAATTAGATGGTTCTACAACTTGTGAATATACTAAAATTTTTATTTTATATATATTTTATTTACTTTTAAAGGTGAATTGTATGATATGTGAATTATATAAATAAAGTTGGGGGAAAAAACAGATTTTACATAGGGTCATAAGATAAAAGATTTCCTAATCAGGGTACCTTATCTCTCTTTACTGACATATGCATTGTGAGTAAAATGAAAAGTTTCAGTTCTGAATCTATTTCTATTTTATGAGGGTTTTTTGTTTATTTGTTTGTTTTAATAGAACTGAGACTGTCTCTGGATCTGAAATTGTTTTCTAGTTCAGTGGGACTGGCAACTTCTGTAGTTAGTTCACAGGGGATGAGATGACAGCCTAGCACAGTGGTCAACAAACTCATTAGTCAACAGAGCCAAATATCAACAGTACAATGATTAAAATTTTTGAGAGCCAAAAACTGATTGCTGCGCATGGGCCATGAAGTTTTAAGCGCACTGTTCGTGTGCACTTGCACATGGTATTTTGTGGAAGAGCCGCACTCAAGGGGCCAAAGAGCCACATGTGGTTCACAAGCCGCAGTTTGCCGACCACTGGCCTAGCATTACTGCTTTGTGTTCTGTAGTTTGTCCTTTCAAACAAGGAGGAGAATTGGACAAATGAAAGTGATTTTTTTCTTATATTTTTTCAGGTTGGTTTGAAGATCAAGTGTTTCATGTCAATGCCTTTGGATTTCCACCCACTGAGCCTTCTAGCACTACTAGGTATAAACATGTTTGATTTAAACTCTTTAGGAATTTTATAATGCTGAAGTAATGAATGTTAGATAGTATATCATATCTCAGTTATTACAAGGCCTCAGGCTTTGTGTCAGAACTCAAAGAACAATGGAAAATTAAAATTAGAAGACTGGGTAGTATATGTAATTGAAAATTAGTGAATTGACTCCAGATCAGTTGCAAAAGCATTTCCATACTTGTCTTTAACTGGAAAAGATTTCCAGTTGAACTGTCTTACTTGTCTCTAGGGTAGATGAGAAGTTCAACTGAGATAAAAGATAAGAAAAAACACTTAGGAGAATATAATTGCCATCCTATATCATAAAAGCCCAGAATGACCACTTGACCAGTCACTATGAGGTACACTGACCACCTCTCAGTCCCTTTCCCCAGCCAGCAGGCTCTGCTTGCCAATAGTGAAGGGGGACCTGAGGTGGGATGTGGGCAGTGCCAGGCCAAGCCCCCCACCCCACCAGTCACCCCACACACAGGGTGACCAGCAGCGGGGGTGGGGTCAGTGAGCAGGCAGGAACAGCCAATCTCTTTGTCCCTCCCCAAGGGCTGTCAGGCTCCCATCACTGGATGGGGAACTAGGGTGGGTGGCCACAGGGGCAGGGCCAGCAGCTGGGGAAGATGGCCCTGATCGCAGGCTAGGCCTAGGGACTGTACCTGTGCCTCTAGTCCTACCTAATAAAAGAATAATATATAAATTAACCATCACTCCGCTATACCCACAAGCCACGCCCACCAGCCAATCAGATTGAGTATGCAAATAAACCCAACCAAGTTGGCTACAGCCACAGAGAGCAGAAGGGAGGCTTGGGTTTCCCAGGCAGTGGAGGAAGCCAAGCTTTCCACTTGCCTTTGCCGGCCTAAGCCTCCACTCAAGGCTACAAAGTTTCAATGATAGACGGTAAACAAATACAAACAGAAATGGCGGCAGCCCTGGAGCTGGAAAGAGCAGGAGGGTAGGGTTGCTCCTGGTAATGGAGGAAGCAAAGCTTTCTGCACACCCTGGCCAGCGTAGGCCTCCACTGCAGGCTACAAAGTTTCAATTATAGAAGATACATAAAACCAAACAAATGGCTGCAGGCTGTGGAGCCAGCAAGAGGATTGGCTCTACTCCAGGCTACAAAGTTTCAATTGTAGAAGGTAAATAAATTCCAGATTCCAGGGCCTCCACTTAGGTCACCAGGGGGCGTGGCTAGCCTGCAAACCACTACAGGCCCCTCATTCAGGCTGCCCCACACCTCAAGGGAACCCCCACCTGGGACATCCTTCAGGGAAAACCAGCTGGCCGCTACCCATGCACCAGGCCTCTGTCCTATCTATTAAAAGAGTAATATGCAGATTGACCATCACCCCAACACATAATATGGCTGCCCCTATGTGGTCAAAGATCTTGCCCATATGTGGACATAAGATGGTCATCAGGAGAGGGCAATTGGGAGACACCAGGCCTGCAAGGGAAGGCAGTTGGAGGCGATCAACCCTGGTTAGGGATGACTAGGCCAGCAGAGGGAAGTTGGGGGCAAACAGACTGCAGAGGAGCAGTTAGGCTTTAATCAGGCTGGCAGGGGAGTGGTTAGGGGTGATCAGGCTGGTAGGCAGAAGCGGTTAGGGGCAATCAGGAAGGAAGGCAAGCAAGCAGTTGGGAGCCAGCAGTCCTGGATTGTGAGAGGGATGTCCGACTGCCTTTGAAGGGTCCCAGATTGGAGAGGGTCCAAGCTGGGCTGAGGGTCACCCCCACCCCCGTGCACGAATTTTGTGCACCTGGCCTCTAGTATTAATATAAAATTCTTATTTTTATATTTTACTGAGTGAAAGTTATAAGAGGCAGATTCTGTAGCTCTTTAATATAAATGAAAGCACCATAATATTCGAGCTATTCCAAAAGGGCCTTTTCTGAGAGGAGTGAGTTCCTATCATTTGAGCTATTTGAGCAGAGGCTGACTGCTGGTATTAAAGTATAGGTGGGCCCTCACCGGTTTGGCTCAGTGAATGGAGCATCGGCCTGCAGACTGAAGGGTCCCACGTTCGATTCCAGTCAGGGCATGTACCTTGGTTGCGGGCACATCCCTAGTATGAAGTGTGCAGGAGGCAGCTGATCGATGTTTCTATCTCTCTATCTTCCTCTCTGTAAAAAATCAAAATATATTTCAAATAAAATAAAAGTATAGCTGGTAGGCTGTGGGTTGAGTGTACAGACCTTTCATTCCCCTTTGAGATATTAAAACACATTTTGAGTTTGTTCCAGTGCTTAAAAATAGAAGATTTCTCATAAAAGTCTATAGATTCCTGAGTTCTCTTGAACCATCAGATTTGAGAACATGGTTCCTGAATTTTCTCCTAGCTGCAACTCTACTGCAGGTTATATATGTGCTCCCTGGCTCATACCTAGTCAGCCTCAGCTGGAGGCTACTTTGATATCTGTGTTTCCTCCTTGAAACCTTGCCATCATTTGAGTTTGCTACCTCTGGGGGAATTAAAGTTGCATTCTAACTTTAGAATCTATTGTGATGGTAAAGATTTAAAGGAGGATGAGGATTAAGATTTTATTTCGACATGCCTGTATCAATTCAGTGCAGAGGCCATGTGTCCTGCTAGGAGTCACTGGCAGGGCATCCTTTGCAGTGCAGCCCCTCTTCCTTTGAAGTAATTTGGGGACAATGCTGGTCACACTAAGGAGAACACAAGCCCTCATCAAGCCAGCTCTTTTAAGGGAGTGTTTTTAATGCTAGTTTGTGGCTTTTTACAACCTGCTAGGGTTTTTTTGAAATACATTTCAATCAAAATTGCTGTCTTGGTGTTTTAATTTTATACAAGTTTCAAAATTACTACTTGGGAATGAGAGGTATAATTGAGGAAGCAAAGAGATAATCATTGTAATATCTCAAATAATATTCCATTTAATTTATGCCATTTTTTTCTAAATTGAACTGTTTTCTGTGTTTAATACACCAGAGACTAGTATGAGGTGTCATAAAGTACATTAAAATGAAATAATCATTTTATTCCTGTTAGGATTATAAATTACTTTTCTCTTAAAACACCTTCCAAATAAAATTCAGATAAGTCAGTGGATTCAGCAACAGATATTTTATTAAATATTTTTTATGTGCAAATAAGCACAAATATATGGTCCTGTCCCAAAAGGATTTATACTAACCTAATACCTTCCCACAATTGCACAGTATATCATACAGGTTTGTTGTCCTAGAATATTTCTTTTCAAATTTGACAACTTAGAAAAATAGGTACTGTCAGGCCTTCCTCTTGATCGTATACTTGTATCTTATATTTTATGAACCATGGACAGATGATGTTAGTAAGGCTTGTCTGTGCTTTAATTTCTGAATAATCAGTTTAATAGGTATTGCTTTCTGTGATGCTCTGGTTTATGCTTGGGTATATATTAAATTGAAGTCAGCATACAGTTGTATCAACTTATTGCATTCCTCTGATAACTGCTAGATTATAACTGTAAGGTCATACCTTTGAAAATGCCAAGTATAATTGTGGCAACAGTAACAGCTACCATGTCTGGGTGCTCACAGTATACTAAGGGCTAGTTCTACTATACCTCCAAATTTTCACAATTCTGGAATATAGGCTAGCCTTTGTAGATACTCTTACTCCTTAGAACAAATTAGAAGTGACATTGGTCAAATGGTTAGCACTCTTTTTGAGCACTTTGATTAGATATTGCTCAAATTTAGTACCCATTTCACTTTCAACTACATGGGAAATTATGATTTATTTTAGTATTTGCTTTAGTTTTAAAAGGCAAAGATATAGCCTATTAAGAATTTTATTTACTGCTTATATATTTCTCCCTTTCTCATTTTAGATCATTTAAATGAACTTGTTTGCTACAAATAATACATTTTTATGATACTATATAAATTGATGGAAGAAAAAACTTTATTAGATACAAAGAAGTTTAATTTGTAAAATTATAAAATATCTCCCAAAGATTATTGAAAATAATAATTGTGTTATAATTACCTAGGGCATACTATGGAAATATTAATTTTTTTGGAGGGCCTTCTAATACATCTGTAAAGACTTCTGCAAAACTGAAACAACTAGAAGATGAGAATAAAGATTCCATGTTTGTGTTTATATCTGATGTTTGGTTAGATCAAGCAGAGGTGCTGGAAAAACTTCACACCATGTTTTCTGGTAGGTTTCATTTTCTAATTTTTTTAACTGTTATTGGGGGTCACGTTTTAAAATTAAATTCTTAAAAAATGTATTTTTTAAGTAGTTTTTTTTTTTTTTTTAAACACGTTGAGTTGGCAGTGAGATATTTTAAGTGAGTTCATCTTTTCTTCCCCCCCTCCCCCTTGGGCCTTTTATTTTTTATTTTTTAATCTTTATTGTTCATATTATTACAAATGTTCCTCATTTTTTTTTCTCCCCTCCATTACTTCCCTTCATCAGGTTTCGACCCCACTCTCTGCCCTTTCCCCACCCCTCATTGTTCTCATCTATAGGTGCACAGTTTATGTTCACTCTCTTTGTCTACCCCCCACTCCCCTTTTCCCTGAGAATCGTCAGTTCACTCCCCTTCCATACCTCTGATTCTATTATATTCAACAGTTAATATTGTTCATCAGGTTTTTTAATTCCCTTGGTTTTTAGATTCACTTGTTTATAGTTATGTATTTGTTGTTCATAATTTTTATCTTTATTTTCTCCCTCTTTCTAAAGAACCTTCTTCAGCAATTCATATACTTCTGGTTTGGCGGAGATGAACTCTCTTAGCTTTTTTTTATTTGTGAAACTCTTTATCTGGCCTTCAATTCTAAGTGATACCTTTGCTGGGTAGATTATCTTTGGCTGTAGGTTTTTGCTATTCATCACCTTGAATATTTCTTGCCATTCCCGTATGGCCTGCATGGTTTCTGTTGAGAAATCAGCTGACAATCGTATGGGTGCTCCTTTATAGGTAACTACCTGCTTTTCTCTTGCTGCTTTTAATATTCTCTCTTTGTCTTTTGCTCTTGGAATTTTAATTATGATGTGTCTTGGTGTGATCTTTGGATTCCTTTTGTTTGGCGTTCTGTGCGCTTCCTGGACTTGTAAGTCTAATTCTTTCACCAGGTGGGGGAAGTTTTCTGTCACTATTACTTCCAGTATGTTTTTGGTATCTTGCTCTATCTCTTCTTCTGGGACCCCCATAATTCTGATGTTGGTTCGCTTAAAGTTGTCCCAGAGGTTTCTTACATTACCTTCAACTTTCTGGATTGTCTTGTCTTCTTGCTTCTGCAGAGGAGTATCTTCTGGCTCTTTATGTTCCAAATCTTTGACTTGATTCTTGCGATCTTCCATTATGTTTTTAGGAGTCTGTATAATATTTTTTATTTCAGTCAATGTATTCTTTATTTCTTGTTGATCCCTTATTATTTCTAGTTGATCCCTTTTCATAACCTCATAGGTCTCATTTCTTTTATCGGCCTTTTCTAGAAGATTCTTGAAAAACCTATATTATAAGCATGGTTTTGAACTCTATATCCAGTTGCTTTTTGTCCTCCATTTCTTTTGTTTGTGATCTGTTTCCTTGTCTTGGCATTTTCGCAGCTTTCCTCAGTTGGTAGCCTTAAAAATCTGTTTTCAGCTTGAATGGCGTGGAGTTTCAGGGTAGAACCTACAGCCTTGGCTTCCGTCAGCCCTGCCCTATGAGGCTCCTGTACTTCTGTACTCACTGCCAGCACCTCTGAGAGAAAGGTGCCCTCGAGTTTCGCCCACTACCAAACAGTCTAGGCTTTCCCCCAATGAGCCCAGAACTGGGGTTCAGTTCAGTTGGAGGTGGGGTTCAGAGCAGTCTGGAGCTTTTGTCTCCTTCCCGCTAGAGCAATCTAGGAGCAGAGTCAGCAATCCATCCTCTGCGTGTAATGTGTGTGCCTCCGGGACTCTGCCTTTCACTGCTCCCCTGAGTTTCCGCCTTACAGCCCAGACTCCCTCCTTATGTGTCTGGGTTCCCAAGGTCTCGCCCAGAACTGGGGTTCAGAGCAGTCGGAACTGGGGTTCAGCACAGTCCAGAGCTTTTATCTCATTCCCTCTAGGGAACTCCAGCCAGAGCTGAGTGCCTGTTCCATACTCTCCGCGCGTACAACGTGTCTCTGTACCTTAGTCTTTTACAGCTCCTCTGATTTTCCTTCTGGTTTTCTCTTTCCTTCTAGTTGTAGAATTCCCAGTCAGTTGACTTTCCTGTAATCCTGGGTAATGTCCATTTTGTATTTTAGTTGTATTTTTGAAATTGTTGTGTGAGGCTGCAGTTAGGTGGTTACCTATGCCGCCATCTTTGTTTCTCTTGAGTTCGTCTTAAAAGGCTTACATTTTTACACTTGAAAAATAACTGTGTGTGTGTGTGTGTGTGTGTGTATGTGTTTTCATGGTAAAGAAGAATTAGTCCTAAATATAGTGTAAGAGCTTGAATTTGGGGTCTGACAGAACTGGTTTTAAATTGCAGTATAATACCTTGGGCAGATTACTTAATTTCTATTCAGCTTCTAGAGATGTGAGGAGGATTAATTAACCCATTGCAGGGCCTAGCATATAATAAGTACTTAATGGACATACTATTACTTTAAAATAGTAAGTTATTAAAATTTTGTTTTTATTACTAACAACTCATGGCTATTGACTTTTAAGCCTGACTTGTAGACTAGAAAAATAATGACCATGTTTAGTCTCATATTTTTAGGTTATTCACCAGCACCTCCAACCTGCTTTATTCTGTGTGGCAATTTTTCATCTGCACCATATGGAAAAAAACAAGTTCAAGCTTTGAAAGGTATTAAGCATCTATTGAATAAATGTTTGTATATTTATATAAACTAATAAGAAATTATCTATATTTTAATTTTATTCCAAGGATATAGGGTTATAACTAATGAAACAATTTGATTTTTTAAAAAATATATTTTATTGATTTTTCTCAGGAAGAGAGAGAGATAGAGAGCTAGAAACATCAATGAGAGAGAATCATTGATCAGCTGCCTCTTGCACACCCCCTACGGGGGATGTGCCCGCAACCAAGGCACATGCCCTTGACCGGAATCGAACCCGGGACCCTTGAGTCTGCAGGCCAACGCTCTATCCACTGAGCCAAACTGGTTTCGGCTGAAACAATTTGATTTGTATGTGCATTATGTACAAATTAAATTTAATATCCTTTTTAAATTTTAGATTCCCTAAAAACGTTGGCAGACATAATATGTGAATATCCCAATATTCACCAAAGGTAATGATTCCTACTGCTATATTTTTTATTTAAACTATTTTATTTTTTTTATGAATCTTGTTTGATATCAGTGATTAAGAAATGAATAGAAGAAAAATTGAGGAAATTAGTACAGCTAAGCGATAAAATTATCCTCACATCATGAAAATGTGTGTTACACTATACTAGAGACTTATAGTTCAAAGTATTAAAAGTGTGAGTGGCAATTTCAACCATATTTTGAATTTCTTGGTGATATTACTTTAAGTCAGGGGTGAGGAACATCTGATCCAGAAGCCGTATCATTTGATCTGGCCCTGCCAAGGTAACCGCAGGCGGGTCTGAAATTCAATAAATCTAGGAGCTTTCTTCATAATTTTTAAGTTTATAATTTTGTATGATCCTTGAATGATGTCATAAATATTCATATGGCCCTTGGTAGAAAAAAGGTCCCCCACCCCTGCTCTAAGTCTAGAGTTGCATTCTTCAATAGGATAGTCACTGGTCACATGTGTCTCTTTAAATTAAAGTTAAGTTATTTAAAGTTAAATAAAATCTAACATTTAGTTGCACTAGCCACAGTTCAAGCACTCAGTTATTGGACAGTGCAGCTATGTCATTGCAGAAGGTCTAATGGTAATGTTGGTCTGTAGACTTTTAGTAGTTCATTTATTAAAATGCATGTAATTTTTAAATCTCTTAAATTTATTACTTAATTAAAAGCAATAACTTGTTTTCAAAAAATTGGATTGGTTCACAATTTTTAAAATTAATTATGTTGAATTTTGCTATAGTAGTCGTTTTGTGTTTGTACCTGGTCCAGAGGATCCTGGATTTGGTTCTATCTTACCAAGGTAGGTTTTATTGAGATTTTGTGACAGTAAAGAAAATTTTATAAAGTTTAAAAATATACACTGTATCACATAAATTATTTTTATAGGCCACCGCTTGCTGAAAGCATTACTAATGAATTCAGGCAAAGAGTGCCATTTTCGGTTTTTACTACTAATCCTTGCAGGTAAATATTAAAATTTTGTGGGTTTTTTTCCTTTTATTTAAAAGTTAATTCTTTACATAGTGTATGTTTGTGATATATAAGGTTTTCTTTCTTTTTTATTTATTTAATTTTTTAAAATATATTTTATTGATTTTGTACATAGAGGAAGGGAGAGAGATAGAGAGTTAGAAACATCGATGAGAGAGAGTCATCGATCAGCTGCCTCTTGCACACCCCCTACTGGGGATATGCCCGCAACCAAGGTACATGCCTTTGACCGGAATCGAACCCGGGACCTTTCAGTCCCCAAGCCAACGCTCTATCCACTGAGCCAAACCGGTTTCGGCAGGTTTTCTTTATTTTGTATATGACCAATAAATGCCTTTTAAAAATAAAAAAATAAAAATAAATAAAAGTTAATTGTTAAAAATAAATAAATAAATAAAAGTTAATTCTTATAATGTGTCTCTAAAGTGTGACTATTATGAAATAAATATAAAATTTCACTTTAAATTTCTCAAAACTTTGAAAATATTTTAACTATATTTAAATAATTCACTACTAATGAATTTAGAAGTTTGACTAATGGAGTTTGTTTTAAATGTATCTTTTTATTAATTTCAGAGAGGAAGGGAGAGGGAAAGAGAGAGAGAAACATCAATATTGATAGAGAACCATTGATCAGCTGTCTCAAGCCTACATGTGCCCTATCTAACCAAGAATTAAACCATGACCTCCTGGTTCATAGGTTAACATTCAACCACTGAGTCACCTCAGCCTGGCAACTAATGGAAATTTTAAAATAGATATTCTCATGTAGGGAGCGGTTATAGGGGTAAGCCTCGGATTGACCTGCTGGCAAGATCTTGTGGCTGCTCCCTTGATCTTTTCTGGGTAGCTAAAGAACTGTGGGAGGGGCAGCAAGTGCTGCCAAAACAAGTGAAACTTACAGCTACATTGTAAATTACCTTGTTTACCTCTGATTATAAAATAAACCATCAGCTTGCAGTCTTGATCTGTTCTGTGGTCTCAGCCAGGCACAGAATATCAACCTACACCCTATTCTCTTTGTCTGTCTTTTCTTCATCCTTCAGCCCTTTCTCAGGCTCACCATACCCTTGGGTGTGCTGGTACGGCACATTCTCATTACATACACATCCTTCAAAAAAGTGACAATGGAAGAATGAAAAGATTACATGTTTACTATTTGTGCCAAAGGCTCTTCTGAGGCATACCCTCAGTTTTTCGTTCTCCTCTTTTCTGTCTACATTCACTCCTGCTATGACCTTATCCATCTCCACGGCTTTAAATGCCATCTATATTTTGACAATTCCCACATTTATATATCCAGCTTAGACCTCCCAAACTCCAGCCTCACATATGCAGTTGCCTACTCATCATTTTCCCTTGGATGTCTAAGAAACAACTCCAGATTGAATCTCTGATCCTCTTCCTCCCCTGTCAGGCCCAAACCTGTTCTGTAGCCTTCCTCATCAGAGTTCATGTGACCTTTATCCTTTTGGTTGCTCAGGCCCAAAACTTTGGGTTTCTCTCACATGCAGTTTTACAGGCAGTCCTTCAACCTTTTTTTTTTTTTTTTAATAAATCTTTATTGTTCATATTATTACAAATGTTCCTCATTTTTTCCTCCCTCCATTGCTCCCCTCCACCAGGTTCCCACCCCACCCTCTGTCCTTTCCCCACCACCCATTGTCCTCATCCTTAGGTGCACAGTTTGTATTCATTCTCTTCCCACACCTCTCATTCCCCTTTTCCCCGAGAATCGTCAGTTCACTCCCCTTCCATACCTCTGATCCTATTATATTCACCAGTTAATAGTGTTCATCAGATTTTTTTTTAATTCCCTTGGTTTTTAGATTCACTTGTTGATAGTTACGTATTTGTTGTTCATAATTTTTATCTTTATTTTCTTCCTCTTCCTAAAGAACCCCCTTCAGCAATTCATATCATTCTGGTTTGGCGATGATGAACTCCTTTAGATTTTTTTTTTATTAGTGAAGCTCTTTATCTGGCCTTCGATTCTGAGTGATAGCTTTGCTGGGTAGATTATTTTTGGCTGTAGGTTCTTGCTATTCATCACCTTGAATATTTCTTGCCATTCCCATCTGGCCTGCTTGGTATCTGTTGAGAAATCAGCTGACAATAGTATGGGTGCTCTTTTATAGGTAACTACCTGCTTTTCTCTTGCTGCTTTTAATATTCTCTCTTTGTCTTTTGCTCTTGGAATTTTAATTATGATGTGTCTTGGTGTCGTCCTCTTTGGATTCCTTTCGATTGGGGTTCTGTGCACTTCCTGGACTTATAGGTCGAATTCTTTCAGTAGATGGGGGAAGTTTTCTGTCACTATTTCTTTCAGTATGTTTTCAGTATCTTGCTCTCTCTCTTCTTCTGGGACCCCCATAATTCTGATGTTGGTTCGCTTGAAGTTGTCCCAAAGGTTTCTTACATTATGTTTAACTTTCTGGATTCTCTTGTCTTCTTGCTTCTGCAGAGGAGTGTCTTCTGGCTCTTTAAGATCCAAATCTTTGACTTGATTCTTGCGATCTTCCATTATGTTTTTAGGAGTCTGTATAATATTTTTTATTTCAGTCAATGTATTCTTTATTTCTTGTTGATCCCTTATTATTTCTAGTTGATCCCTTTTCATATCCTCATAGGTCTTATTGGCTGTTTCTAGGAAATTCTTGAAAAACCTTATAAGCGTGGTTTTGAACTCTATATCCAGTTGCTTTTTGTCCTTCATTTCTTTTGTTTGTGATCTGTTTCCTTGTCTCGGCATTTTCACAGCTTCTCTGAGTTGGTAGCCTTAAAAGTCTCTGTGTTCAACTTGGATGGGGCAGAGTTTTAGGGTGGAGCCTACAGCCTTGGTTTCCGCCAGCCATGCCCTGTGAGGCTCCTGAGTCTCAGTATTCCTCAGGGTCCTTCATTACTCATTGCAAGCACCTCTGAGAGTAAGGTGCGCACAAGTTTCGTGCGCTACCAAACAGTCTAGGCTCTTTCCCAATGAGCCCGGAACTGGGCTTCAGTTCAGTTGGAAGTTGGGTTGGAAGTGGGGTTCAGAGCAGTCTGGAGCTTTTGTCTCCTTCCCGCTGGGGCTATCCAACTGCACAGTCAACCACCCATTCTCTGCGTGCAATGTGTACTCCTCTGGGACTTTCTTTCGCCACTCCCCTGGGTTTCCACCTTACACCCCAGGTTCCCTCTGTATGAGCTTGGGTCCCCAGGGTCTTGCCTAGAACTGGGGTTCAGTGCAGTCGGAACTGGGGCTCAGCACAGTCCGGAGCTTTTGTCTCCTTCCCACTAGGGCAATCTAGCAGCAGAGTCAACAGTCCGTACTCTGCATGTAACGTGCACGACTCTGGGACTGCCTTTTCCCGCTCCCCTGAGATTTCACCTTACAGCCCAGGTTCCCTCTGTATGAGCCTGGGTCCCCAGAGTCTGGCCAAACCTGGGGTTCATTGCAGTTGGAATTGGGGTTCAGCGCAGTCCTTAGCTTTTATCTCCTTCCCTCTAGGGAACGCCAGCCAGGCTTTCAGCCTCTCCCTTCTCTCTGGCTCTGTCCTCTCTGCGCTCTTACGCAACATGTCTCCATACTTTAGGCTTTTACAGCTCCTCAGATTTTTCTTCTGGTTTTCTCTTTCCTTCTCATTGTAGAATTTCCAGTCAGTCTACTTTCCTGTAGTCCTGGGTAATGTCCATTTTGTATTTTAGTTGTATTTTATTGAAATTGTTGTGTGAGGCTGCAGTTAGGTGTTTACCTATGCCGCCATCTTGGATTCTCCAGTCCTTCAACCTTTTTAAGAAAGGTTTCAAAATATACCCATTATTGGCTGCCTCTTTACAGCTTCATGCTTGTGACACTCTCTCATCTTCTAACCTGGGTTACTGTAACAGCCTCCTGGTTGGTCTCTAGCTTCACCCCTACCCTTCTGTAATCTATTCTTAATACTATGTCAGAGGATCCTTTAAAATTTAAGGCCCCTTACTGATCCTAAAAGATGGGACCCCCCTCATGTCATTTAGTAACAGCCAATATCTTTGCAAGGTAGTCAGGCCCTGTATGATATGCCTCTTATTTCCTCTGCTACTTTTCCTCATTTATTCCAGTCACTACAGCTTTTTTTTTTCTTCTGTTCATCGGATGTGCCAAGCATGCTACATCTTACAGCATATGCTATACCTGTTCCCTCTGCCTGCAATATTCTTCCTCTGTCTGCCTCTCTCACCTCTTCAAGTCTGTGCTCAAATCAAACTGCATTATGAGCCTACCCATTCTTATCATCCTCTTTCATACTCCAGCCTTCTAGACCACCCCCCACAAATGTTCCACTTGACCTTTTTTCCCCATACATGTAATCATTTTCCAAGATACTGTATATCATGTTTATTGTTTTTTTCTCTGATCGCCCTCTTCTCATTAGAATGTAAACTTCATGAGAACTAGGATCTTTTTGTTTTGTTCACTCATTTCTACAATAGTTCAGTATACATATTAAAAGCTCAATAAATTACTGTTTAATGAATAGACAAATAGGTAAATTCTTTTTTTTTTTTTTTTAATAAGTTTTTATTGTTCATATTATTACAAATGTTCTTTCCCCCCCCCCCCCCACCATTGCTCTCCTCCACCAGGTTCCCACCCCACCCTCTGCCCTTTCCCCTCTCCCCATTGTCCTCATCCATAGGTGCACAGTTTATGTTCAGTCTCTTCCCACTCTCCCCTCTCCCCTTTTCCCCAAGAATCATCAGTTCACTCCCCTTCCATACCTCTGATTCTATTATATTCAACAGTTAATATTGTTCATCAGATTTTTTTAATTTCCTTTGTTTTTAGATTCACTTGTTGATAGTTACGTATTTGTTGTTCATAATTTTTATCTTTGTTTACTTTCTCTTCTGAAAGAACTCCTTTCAGCAATTCATATAATTCTGGTTTGGCGGTGATGAACTCCTTTAGCTTTTTTTTATTAGTGAAGCTCTTTATCTGGCCTTCGATTCTGAGTGATAGCTTTGCTGGGTAGATTATTTTTGGCTGTAGGTTCTTGCTATTCATCACTTTGAATATTTCTTGCCATTCCCTTCTGGCCTGCATGGTTTCTGTTGAGAAGTCAGCTGACAATCGTATAGGTGCTCCTTTATAGGTTACTACCTTCTTTGCTCTTGCTTCTTTTAATATTCTCTCTTTGTCTTTTGCTCTTGGAATTTTAATAATGATGTGTCTCGGTGTGGTCCTCTTTGGATTCCTTTTGTTTGGAGTTCTGTATGCTTCCTGGACTTGTAAGTCTAATTCTTTTACCAGGTGGCGGAAGTTTTCTGTCACTATTTCTTTCAGTATGTTTTCGATATCTTGCTCTCTCTCATCTTCTGGGACCCCCATAATTCTGATGTTGGTTCGCTTGAAGTTGTCCCAGAGTTTTCTTACATTATCTTCAATTTTCTGGATTCTCTTGCCTTCTAGCTTCTGTGGAGGAGTGTCTTCTGGCTCTTTATGTTCCAAATCTTTGACTTGATTCTTGCGATCATCCTTCCTGTTTTTAGGACTCTGTAAAATATTTTTTATTTCAGACAATGTATTCTTTATTTCTTGTTGATCCCTTATCATTTCTTGTTGACTCCTTATTAATTCTAGTTGATCTCTTTCATATCCTCATAGGCCTTATCCATCTTTTCTAGGAAATTCTTGAAAAACCTTATAAGCGTAGATTTGAACTCTATATCCAGACGCTTTTTGTCCTCCATTTCTTTCGTTTGTGATCTATTTTGTTGTCTCATTTCACAGTTACAGATGGGGCGGGGTTTCAGGGTGGAGCCTGCAGCTTTGGCTTCTGTCAGCCCCACCCTATGCAGGTCCTTCAGTGCTCGCTGCTGGCGCCTCTGAGAGAAAGGTGCCCTCGATTTTCGCCTGCTGCCAAACAGTCTATGCTCTCCCCCAATTAGCCCGGTATTGGGGTTCAGTTCAGTTGGAAGTGGAGTTGGAGGTGGCGTTCAGAGCAGTCTGGAGCCCCAGTCTCCTTCCCGTCAGGGCAATCCCCCGGCACAGCCGACCGTCCCTTCTCTGCGCTCAGTGTGCGCGCCTCCGGGACCTCCTTCCGCCTCTCCCCGGGGTTCCGCCTTACAGCCCGGCTCCCTATGGCTGAGCCTGAGTCCCCGGGGTCCGGCCCAGAACTGGGGTTCAGAGCAGTCGGGGGCCCAGCACAGTCGGAGTTTTATCTCCTTTCCGCTGGGGAACGCCCGCCAGGCACTCGGCTTCCCTCCTCTCAGGTCCGTCCTCTCCGCGCGCCGCGTCTCCGTACCTTGGGCTTTTCCAGCTCCTCCGCGCCTCCTTCTGGTTTTCTCCTTGCTTCTCGCTGTAGAATTTCCAGTCAGTCAACCTTCCTGTAGTTCTGGGCAATGTCCGTTTTATATTTTAGTTGTATTTTATTGAAATTGTTGTGTGCGGCTGCAGCTAGGTGTTCACCTGGGCGCAGCCATCTTGGATCTCTCCAAATAGGTAAATTCTTATTGAATTTTTGCTATGGTAAAAAATGGAAAGTAGAAATGGTTTTGTATTATAAAACCATTTGCCTTTTATGCCCTAGTCAGTTTGGCTCTGTGGATAGAGCACCAGCCAGTGGACTAAAGGGTCCCAGATTCCATTCCAGTCAAGAGCACATGTCTGGGTTGTGGATTCAGTTCCCAATAGGGGGCGTGCAGGAGGCAGCCAATCAGTGATTCCCATCATTATTGTTTCTCTCTCTGTCCCCCACCCCTCTTCCTTTCTCTCTGAAACCAATAATATATTTTAAAAAATAAAAATAAATTACCTCATATTTTTTTCTGATAAAATCAAATTCAACTATTTTTATTTCAGAATTCAGTATTGTACACAAGAAATTATTGTCTTTCGTGAAGACTTAGTGAATAAAATGTGCAGAAACTGTGTCCGTTTTCCTAGTAGCAATTTGGATATTCCTAATCATGTAAGTTCACAGTCTTCTTTATAAAACTATTACATGTTACATCACATAAAATGTTATTAAGCCCCTTGATAATTTACCCTCTAATATTTATTTAAATTATGGTTATAATTTGAACATACTTTGTCAGTAAGTTAATATTTCTTAGTAATCGGTGTTTCTCAACTTTCTAACTGAAATATCCCCTAATGGGTGGAGGAAAACCAGGAACAAGCAGGAGATTTCATTGAAACTTCCTTGTTTTACTCTAAACTCATAAATCTTAAATTGTACTTCAAAATATACTTATGTGTTTTAATAAAATGTTCATGTTTGCTAAATATTTAGAGGTATGTCAGAAGGATGTGTAGTGCTTATATTATAGCTTCAAAGTGCCATGATACATGTTCCCCCTTTTCAGAAGTTATGAAGAGATCTTACAGACATTTTCTATATTTATTTTATAATAGTTAAAGCTTTTATAGGCAAAACTAGAGGCCCAGTGCCGTGCATGCGGGCAGGAGATGTCCCTCAGTCCAGCTTGCAGTCTCTCCAATCTGGGACCATTTGAGGAATGTCTGACTGCCCTTTTAGACCCGATCCCAGTGGGTTCAGGCCTAAACAGGTAGTAGGACATCCCTCTCACAATCCAGGCTACTGGTTGCCAGCTGCTCGCCTGTCTGCCTTCCTGATTATCCCTAACTGCTTCTGCCTGCCAGCTTGATCACCCTAACCACTCCCATGCAGTCTGATTGGTGTCTAATTGCTTCCCTGCCAGCCTGTTTGCCCCCAACTTCCCTCCACTGCCGACCTGGTCACTCCTTATTGCCCTCCCCTGCAGGGTTGATCGCCTCCAACTGCCCTCCCTTGCAGGCTGGTCCCTCTCAGCTACCCTCCCTTGCAGGCCTGGTGCCTCCCAACTGCCCTCCCCTGCTGGCCATCTTGTGGTGACCATCTTGTATCCACATGGGGGGGCCATCTTTAACCACATGGGGGCAGCCATCTTGTGTGTTGGAGTGATGGTCAATCTGCATATTACTCTTTTATTACTATAGATAGGATTACTATTCTTTGCATTGCTCAAGCTATGAGTTATTATTTTTTATTAATTAGTTAATTTATTTTATTGATTATAGTCTCACATAATTGTCCTTATCCCCCCACTCCCATCACAAACCCCTCCCCACACATGCCCCCTACCCCCCTGTTGTCCATGGCCACTGGCTAGGACCATATGCATGCATACAAGTCCTTTGGTTGATCTCTTCCCTTTACCCCCACCCTCCCTCACTTTCCCTCTGAGGTTTGAGAGTCTGATTGCTGCTTCTCTTTCTCTGGGTCTGTTTTTGTTCATCAGTTTATGTTGTTCATTATTTCCTCTAGATGTGTGAGGTCATGTGATCCAAGAAATACTCTTGTAAGAACCTAAACTGCAACAAGGCATAATGGTTATGCTGAGAGGCAAATGAATCAATCTATAGTGAGTTGCTTTCCGGGCCAACAGTTCTTTTGAGTCCCAATTTCAATGTCAAATAGTTCCTTATGTGTACATGTCAGCCATGATATTTCAGATCTGGTTGGTGGACAAATGGTGGCAATACAGGTCTGCCCGTCTCTGGTTTGGTCCTGGGCATCCTTCAGCAACACGCAGCTACTGTCTGCTGGTGTGCTGAGGTGTCGTCAGCATCTTCCATCTCTAAATTGTGTCTCTTCTGTCTTCATGGCTGGAGCGCTTCTGTCTATTGATCTCTGTTACAGAATTCCAGATGGTCTTGGAGTTCTTTTCTGAAAATATACAAACATAATCTCAACCTAAAATTAATAAAGGAATATTTTCTTTAAATTTGACTTGGGATTCTTTTTCTTCCCCCCCTCCCCCCCAAACAATTTTCCTCTGGTTTGTTTTCACACCATGTGTGTATTTTCATGGGTATTTTGCTGTTAGCATTTGGAATGAAGGTTAATTTTCTAAAGTACAAGTTTTTTAGATGTAAATTATTCTCAGGATATTTTACCTTACATGATATTCTTCCACTGTCACCCCCTTTTTTACTTTAAATAATAGGAGACTTTTGGAAATTTTATAATGTAGTCTTGATAGCTTTTACATTTTAAATTATTTGCGCTACAGTATGACTACTTTAGGTTCATAACATGTGCACTATAAATTATTTTTTTTGTTTTTGTTTTATTTTTTTAATAAATCTTTATTGTTCATATTATTACAAATGTTCCTCATTTTTTTTCACCCCTCTATTGCTCCCCTCCACCAGGTTCCCACCCCACCCTCTGCCCTTTCCCCACCCCTCATTGTCCTCATCCATAGGTGCACAGTTTATGTTCAGTCTCTTCCCACACCCCCTTCTCCCCTTTTCCCCGAGGATCGTCAGTTCACTCCCTTTCCATACCTCTGATTCTATTATATTCACCAGTTAATATTGTTCATCAGATTTTTTATTTCCCTTGGTTTTTATTTATTTTTTAAAAAATATATTTTATTGATTTTGTACAGAGAGGAAGGGAGAGAGATAAATAGTTAGAAACATCGATAAGAGATAGACATCAATCGGCTGCCTCTTGCACACCCCCTACTGGAGATATGCCCGCAACCAAGGTACATGCCCTTGACCAGAATCGAACCCAGGACCTTTCAGTCCCCAAGCCGATGCTCTATCCATTGAGCCAAATCGGTCTTGGCTTCCCTTGGTTTTTAGATTCACTTATTGATAGTTACTTATTTCTTGTTCATAATTTTTATCTTTATTTTCTTCCTCTTCCTAAAGAAGCCCCTTCAGCTGAAACAGGTTTGGCTCAATGGATAGAGTGTTGGCCTGGGGACTGAAAGGCCCGTTTTCGATTCCGGTCAAGGGCATGTACCTTGGTTGCGGGCATATCCCCAGTAGGGGCTGTGCAAGAGGCAGCTGATCGATGACTCTCTTTCATTTATGTTTCTAACTCTCTATCTCTCTCCCTTCCTCTCTGTATAAAATCAATAAAATATATTTTTAAAAAGAACCCCCTTCAGCAATTCATATAATTCTGATTTGGCAGTGATGAACTCCTTTAGCATTTTTTTTTATTAGTGAAGCTCTTTATCTGACCTTAGATTCTGAGTGTTAGCTTTGCTGGGTAGATTATTTTTGGCTGTAGGTTCTTGCTATTCATCACCTTGAATATTTCTTGCCATTCTTGTATGGCCTACATGGTTTCTGTTGAGAAATCAGCTGACAATCATATAGGTGCTCCTTTATAGGTAACTACCTGCTTTTCTCTTGCTGCTTTTAATATTCTCTCTTTGTCTTTTGCTCTTGGAATTTTAATTATGATGTGTCTTGGTGTGGTCCTCTTTGGATTCCTTTTGTTTGGCGTTCTGTGCACTTCCTGGACTTTTAAGTCTAATTCTTTCACCAGGTGGGAGAAGTTTTCTGTCACTATTTCTTTCAGTATGTTTTCATATCTTGCTCTCTCTCATCTTCTGGGACCCCCATAATTCTAATGTTGGTTCGCTTGAAGTTGTCCCAGAGGTTTCTTACATTATCTTCAACTTTCTGGATTGTCTTGTCTTCTTGCTTTTGTGGAGGAGTGTCTTCTGGCTCTTTAAGTTCCAAATCTTTGACTTGATTCTTGCGATCTTCCATTATGTTTTTAGGAGTCTGTATAATATTTTTTATTTCAGTCAATGTATTCTTTATTTCTTGTTGATCCCTTATTATTTCTAGTTGATCCCTTTTCATATCCTCATAGGTCTCATTTATTTTATTCGCCTTTTCTAGGAGATTCTTGAAAAACCTATAGTATCAGCGTAGTTTTGAACTCTATATCCAGTTGCTTTTTGTCCTCCATTTCTTTTGTTTGCGATCTGTTTGCTTGTCTCGGCATTTTCATTGCTTCCCTGAGTTGGTAGCGTGGCTTTGTGTGCTAAGGTGTCCTTTATGGTTCAGTGGGTCAATCTCCCAGTTACCTGAGGTGAACCCTCTTGGTGCCCCCTTTTGTAGACTATGTGTACAGCCTTATTGTAGTTACCGTATTTTTCGGACCATAAGACGCACTTTTTTCCCCCCAGAAGTGGGGGTGAAAAGTCCCTGCGTCTTATGGTCCAAATATAGCCTACACATATACTTAAAAAAAAAGTTTTTTTACTTGCCCGGCTCTGTGTGGTCTCTGTGTGCTTGCCCGGCTCTAAAATGGTTCTAAATGCTGCTGTTTACTTTACAGGGTTGATTACATGTGTTTATGACTGTGATGTTGGGTTTTAATGCACATAAAATATTTTAGGACACTGTTTGTTTCAGAATCTTTTTTTCTTCATTTCCCTTCTCTAAAAACTGGTGCGTCTTATGGTCCGGTGCGTCTTATGGTCCGAAAAATACGGTAAGTTTTGATTGTTGTTAGTATCACTGGGAAGAACTGACCTCCAGGCCAATTGGCTGTGAGGATCACCTGTGTCAATGCCAGGAGACAGCCTTATTGGACTAGACTTGGAAAATTGCAAACATCTCTGTGCTCAGCTGGGATGGAGCGGAGTTTCACGGTGGAGCCTAAAGCCTTGGCTTCCATCAGCCCTGCTCTATGAGGCTCCTTAGTCTCAGAGTTCCTCAGTGTCCTTCAGTACTCGCTTCAAGCACCTCTGCGAGAAAGGTGCCCTTGATTTTTGCCCACTACTAAACAGTCTAGGCTCTCCCCCAATGAGTCCCGATCTGGGGTTCAGTTCAGTTGGAAGTGGGGTTCAGAGCAGTCTGGAGCTTTTGTCTCTTTTTCACTAGGGCAATGCAGCAGCACAGTCAACTGTCTGTTATCTGTGCGCAATATGTGCGCCTCCGGGACTTCCTTTCACCGCTCCCCTGAGTTTCCACCTTACAGCCCAGACTCCCTTTGTATGAGCCTGGGTCCCCAGTGTCTGGCCTAGAACTGTGGTTCAGTGCAGTCGGAACTGGGGCTCAACACAGTCCAGAGCTTTTATCTCCTTCCCTCTACGGGATGCCAGCCAGGCACTCAGCCTCCCCCTCCTTTCCCCGTGCATGCACTGTGTTTCCGTACCTTAGGCTTTTACAGTTCCTCTGATTTTCCTTCTGGTTTTCTCTTTCCTTCTAGTTGTAGAGTTCCCAGTCAGTGGACTTTCCTGTAGTTCTGGGTAATGTTCATCTTGTATTTTAGTTATATATATTTTTTTAATTGTTGTGTGAGGCTGCAGTTAGGCGTTTACCTATGACGCTATCTTGGATTCTCCCGCTATGAATTATTTTTAAAAAATCTTTATTTTTCAGATTATTAGAGTTGTTCCTTTTTTCCCTCCCATAGCTCCCCTCCACCTGGTACACCCTGCCCTTAACTCCCCTCTGTCCTCATCCATAGGTGTATGATTTTTGTCCAGTCTCTTCCCGCACCCCCCACACCCCCTTTTCCCTAAGAATTGTCAGTGTACTCCCTTTATATACTCCTGATTCTATTATATTCACCAGTTTATTCTGTTCCTCAGATTTTTTTATTCCCTGGATTTTTAGATTCACTTGTTGTTAGATATGTATTTATTGTTCATAATTTTTAACTTTTTCTTCTTCTTCTTAAAGAATATCATTCAGCATTTCTTATAGCACTGGTTTGGCGGTGATGAACTCCTTTAGTTTTTCTTATCTGTGAAGCTCTTTATCTGCCCTTCAATTCTGAATGATAGCTTTGCTGGGTAGAGAAATCTTAGTTGTAGATTCTTGCTATTCATCACTGTGAATATTTCTTGCCATTCTGTCTGGCCTTCATAGTTTCTGTTAAGAAATCAGCTGACAATCGTATGATTACTCTTTTGAAGGTAACTGTTTTTCTCTTGCTGCTTTTAATATTTTCTCTTTGTCTTTTGCTCTTGGAATTTTAATTATGATGTGTCTTGGTGTGGTTCTCTTTAGATTCCTTTTGTTTGAGGTTCTGTGTGTTTCTTGGACTTGTAAGTCTATTTCTTTCACCAGGTAGGGGAAGTTTTCGGTCATTGTTTCTTCAAATAGGTTTTCAATTTCTTGCTTTCTCTGTCTTCTTCTGGCTCCCCCATAATTCTGATGTTGGTACACTTGAAGTTGTCCCAGAGGCTTCTTACACATTCTTCAAATTTTTGGATGCTTTTTGCTTTTCTGGTTGGCTGGTTTTTTTTTTCTTTGCATTTTAAATCTTGAACTTGATTCTTGGAATCCTCTAGTCTGCTGTTGGATCTATGTATATTATTTTTTTTAATACATATATTTTATTGATTTTTTTACAGAGAGGAAGGGAAAGGGATAAAGAGATAGAAACATCTATCAGTTGCCTCTTGCACACCTCCTACTAGGGATGTGCCCACAACCAAGGTACATGCCCCTGACCAGAATCAAAGCTGGGACTCTTCAGTCCGCAGGCCGATGCTCTGTTCACTGAGCCAAACCGGTTAGGCACTGTATATTATTCTTTATTTCAGTCAGTGTATGCTTAATTTCTAATTTGTCTTTTTTCATATCTTTAAGGGTTTCACTAAATTTCTCGGAGATTTCTAGAAAATTCCTGAGTAATCTTATAACCATGGTTTTGAATTCTATTTCCAGTAGTTTGCTTTCCTCCATTTCTGTCATTTGTGGCCTGTTTCTTTTTCTCCACATTTTGGCTGCTTCCCTTTGTTGATTGAGTGGCTTTGTGTGCTAAGTGTCCCATAGGGCCCAATGGTTCAGCCTCCCGATTTACCTGAGGTGGACACTCTTGTTGCACCCCTTTGTGGGTTGTATGCACAGTCTTGTTGTAGTTAAGTCTTGATTGCTGTTGGTATCACTGGGAGGAATTGACCTCCAGGCTAGTTGGCTGTGAGGACCAGTTGTATCTACAATGGGAGAACTTCTGTGCTAGAAACACTATTCTGGGGCAAGATTTGCATCAGTGGGGCTTTGATGCTCACTGAGTCTGCCCCCTGAATGTCTCTCTTATGGATATAAAGAATTATAATCCAGATGGTCTCACTCTGACCATTTGGGTACACTGGTTCTTGGATCTCCAAGGAGATGCAAAGTAAGCCACTGCATCAGGCCACCCAGCATGAGCTACAGAGAGATCTGCAATTTCCTCTTGTGTTTAGGGTTTGAGGTGCCCAGATAAGGCCCAGCTGTGAAACAATGCAAGCTGCTGCAGGGCGTTGGGCCTTCTTTTTGAGGTTCTGTGCTATCTGACCCAGCTGTAGGTTTTAGGTTTTAGATTGGGAAAGGCCAGGCCGTTCATGTGCAAAAGTCTCTGCACACAGCTTGGGTGGGGTTGTAAATTGGATGTGGCAGGGACTCAGGGAATCATCAGGGTGGAGCAAACAGCAATGGCTGACCATCGCTTCTCGGCCTTTTGGCTAAGATCAAGTGTAGCAATGACTGACCATCAGCCCTGCCCTGAAGTGGTCCCTGGTGTCCTGAGGCACAGTGCAGGAACAATGATCGCTGCAAGCACCTCTGAGAGAAAGCCACCCTCGTGTTCCGGCCCAATGCCAGACAGTCCAGTTTCTTCCTGTATGAGTTTGGGTCCCCAGTGTCTCGCCCAGAACTGGAGTTCAGAGCAGTCCGAAACTTGTATCTCCCTCCCGAATGAAAAAGACAACAGTGTACCTAGTTATTAGCCCCTTTCCATGAACCTCTGTACTACCGCACTTCACTTCCACCTCTGCACCTCCTCTTAGTCTCAGTGTGCTCTTCTCTTTCTTCATCCAGCCTTCCCATTGTTCTGGATGATATCCATTTTGTTTTTTAGTTGTAGTTTTGATGTGGTTGTGCGTGGCAGCAAATTCAGGTGTTTATCTAAGCCACCATCTTGGTTCCTTTCGCTATGAATTATTTTTAGATGAACACAATTACTAAATGAGTCTATTATACAGATATACTAGTAAGTATAGTTGCTCCAATATGACTATTGGGGGAATGGACTTTACAGTAAATGATTTTAAATGAAAACTCAAAAAAATTTTTTAAACTACAGGACAGTCAATCTTATTTCATCTCTGTGTTTTCCACAGCTCTAATTCAGAGTTCTAATTGTTTGTCAAATTTTCTAATTATTTTTGGTAATTAATATTTAATTTGAAATTATTTGTTAGTTGTTTTAACTTTTACAAATGAACTAAAGTTTGTTTTGTATCATTCTTTTTAGTTTGTGAAGACTATCTTATCCCAAGGACACCTGACTCCACTACCCCTCTATGTCTGCCCAGTGTACTGGGCATATGACTATGCTTTGAGAGTGTACCCTTTGCCTGATGTACTTGTCATTGCAGACAAATATGATCCTTTCACTTTGACCAATACCGAATGCCTCTGCATAAACCCAGTAAGAATGTAGTTAACATTATATAGTCATACTTTGTCAAGATTAGAGTGTTATTTCTTTACATTTAAAATGTGTATTTAAAAATATTACTGTTAGAGTAAAAATATACTATTAATGAAACACAATTAGTTTGATATATACTGAAAGTTCTTAAACCTTCAGTATGGCATGTGACTATAAAGTAATGTGATATTTTTCTTTAAAAAAAAATATATATATATATATATATATATATATATATATATATATATAAGCCACTTATAAATCCAAATGAATATTTTCCCTTCAAAGTAACTTACTTTGGGATTACTTTCAGGAAATTGCTTTCAAAGCATGTATCTATTCTCTTTAACCATATAAATGGTATTTATCCTTTGAGGAGGATTTTGATTTTTAGAAGTTGCCCAACTCCCCAAAATCTAAACCTGATAAATATGGAAATTCTTATTGAGACACATTTTATTACTTCATTTTTTATGCAGAACCTTGAAGTTGCTTCAGAATCTTAAAGTTGCTTCAGAATTTCTACAGAAGTATAATTGACTTTAAATTTAGGGAACACAGATTGCATAAACATTGTGACTGATGCCAAAATGTCTCCACTAGAGGCTTTATGCTCTGTATTAATTCTGGTAAATTTTATACCTTAATACTTTTCTGTTTCATTTAGGTCATTTCTAGAAACATTGTGTCTTACTATTTGTCACTGCTTCTTCAAATACACATGTATTATGCCCACTTCCCAGGATGTCTCATCCACGGAGCTGTTGGCATTTTGAACCAAATCTTTGTTGTGGAGCTCTGACCTATGCACTGTAGGATGTATAGCAGGATCCCTGGATTCAACCCATTGGATGCAAGTAGCAGCCCCCAATTTATAACCATCAAAAACGTCTAAGGATATTTGACAGATGTGCCCTGGAGGGCAAAATTGTCCTTGGTTGAGAAATACCCTAAGGATGAGCATAGTCAACTAATTTTATTTTATTGTTTGAAATCTATGGCCTGGTTTTTATAGGCTATTCACAATTTAATATTCTTTAACAGAGGCTATATCCTTATTTAAATCGAATAGTTTGGGTATTCTCATAATTGATGCCTTATTTGAATATGCCTTATTTTTTAATTTTTCCACCTTTTCATCCTTTTAAGTGAGTAAACCACTTTCTTTCATAATCACATCTTTTTTTTACCTTATTTATACCTTTTGGGCCCAGAACTTGCCTTTGACATTGCTTCATACCTTCTTAATACTTATTTACATTAATGAATGCCTGCAATGGGCATGGCAATGGGCCAGGGACACAGAAACTAATACCATCGTTTAGTAGTGGACAGACATCTGTATGTGTGTTCAGTGCTTTAAAGGGCACATTGAAGGGGCATGAAACCTAGATTTTCATTGGGAAGAGGGATAGGAAAAATTTCTTAAAGATTCTGGGCATCTTATATGCATCTTTAACATCTTATACTAAGTAGAACCAATTCTATTATACTTACATTTCCAGTCACACCTGTTAGCATAAGATGGTCTAGCCCAGTGATCGGCAAACTCATTAGTCAAAAGAGCCAAATAGCAACACTACAATTATTTAAATTTCTTTTGAGAGACAAATTTTTTAAACTTAAACTTCTTCTAATGCCACTTCTTCAAGCCACAGTTTGCCGATCATGGGTCTAGCCAACTTGAAAGACATTTGCTTAAAGTGTAGGTATTTTATATTAATATCTTCTCTCTGTAAAGATCAAGCAAAAATCTGTCACATCACTTTATAGTCACCTTATAACTTTTAAAGTCATGAGGACCAAGGAATTTGATTTTAAAAACAAGAATTCTTCTATAAAAGTTGAGTATTTACTTACAGGCATTTCTCTTCTCCTCACACCCCACCCCCACCCCCCACCCTCCACCCCCCACCCCCGCCCAGGGCTCTTTTCCAAGAAGTGGATTTTCATTCAAAGTTTTTTATCCTTCCAACAAGACAGTTGAAGATAGGTAAGTGTGCCCACTAAACTGGCAGAAAAAGCTCCTTCTTAGTGCTATATTGCTAAAGATCAAACGTTCTGTAGGCATATTGAGATTTTTATTTTATTTTATTTTTACATATATTTTATTGATTTTGTACAGAGAGGAAGGGAGAGAGATAGAGTTAGAAACATCGATGAGAGAGAGTCATCGCTCAGCTGCCTCTTGCACACCCCCTACTGGGGATCTGCCCGCAACCAAGGTACCTGCCCTTGACGGAATTGAACCTGGGACCTTTCAGTCCCCAAGCCGATGCTCTATCCATTGAGCCAAACCGGTTTTGGCATTTTGAAGTTTTTAAAAATGTCTGCAGTGATCCATTGGGAATGTTCTAGGCTGAAGTTATTGTGATCAAGCTGTGTGACATAGAATATTATGTATTTAATGGCGTGTTTCTGATGAAATAGATCAAGCATTGTTTTCTGAGGGAAATCTTGGACCAGTTATGGAGGTGGGCTTGTTTTAATAATGAGCATCATTAGAACTCACAGTCTGAGTTCTAATGATGCTCATATTATTCTGAGAGCACAGCCCTGCCCTCCACATGGTTGAGTCTCAAAACCTAGGTAATCTGTCTTACATTGGCAGCAAATAATTTGGAAGGAGCTGGGTGCAAGTGTGGTGATGTGCAGGTGTTGGAGTTGGGGGAAGGTCTTGAGGTAAAAAAGAGAATAATCACCTGGTGGGTAGTGGTTTTCAAAGGGTGATCTAAAGATCACCTGCATCTGCTGAGACCGGTGGTAGAGCGTCGGTCTGTGGACTGAAAGGTCCCAGGTTCGATTCCGGTCAAGGGCATGTACCTTGGTTGCGGGCACATTCCCAGTAGGGGGTGTGCAAGAGGCAGCTGGTCGATGTTTCTCTCTCATCAACGTTTCTAGCTCTCAATCCCTCTCTCCTCCTCTCTGTAAAAAAATCAATAAGATAAAATAAAAAAAGAACACACTGGGCCAAAACCGGTTTGGCTCAGTGGTAGAGTGTTAAAGATCATCTGCATCAGAGTCTTCGAGGATCCTTGTTAAAAATATTGCCCTAGCTGGTTTAGCTCAGTGGATAGTGTTGGCCTGTGAACTGAAGGGTCTTGGGTTCGATTCTGGTCAAGGGCACATATATGAGTTGCAGGCTTGGTCCCCAGTAGATGGTGTGCAGGAGGCAATCAGTGATTCTCTCTCTTTGATGTTTCTGTCTCCTTCTCCCTTCCTCTCTGAAATTAATAAAAATATTTAAAAGAATAAAAAAAGTTAAGTTCTGGAATCCCATCCCACATTTAGCAAATGGTTTGCTCTATAGTTATAGGGCCCATAAATATGCATTTTGATGCTATGTCCCTTGGATTCAGGCATCCTAACATGTACTGTCAGTTAATCAAACATATTTTGAAAAAACTCCACTTCTTGTTAAGCAAATAACCAGCCCTTGCTGGAGGTTCGATTGCTGAACAGGGCATATACCTAGGTTGCAGGTTTGATCACCCACTGGTCAGGGTGCTTATGGGAGACAGCCAATATCTCTCTCTCTCTCTCTCTCTCTCTCTCTCTCTCTCTCTCTCTCTTTCTCTCTCTCTCTATCTCTATCTCTCTCTCTTCCTTTCATTCTAAAATCAATGAGAAACATATTCTCGGATAAGGATTAAAAAATATAAAAGAACAAATAACCAAATAACTGTCCTCTAGTTTCTTGTTAGAGAATATAATTTTGAACACACAGCTCAATTATAATTTGTATAATTAACAAATATATTAAAACCAACATCTCATGATAAAAAATTCAAAAAGTGCTTAAAAGTATAAAATTGAAAAATAGCTCTGTAATACCTCTGCTTTCTAACCCTGAACCCATGATTAACAGTTTCTTGTACATATTTCTTTAAAAAAATTGTGCATTGTTCCTTCTGCTCAATACTTATGGATGATTGAAGTCCATTCAGTTTATGAGATATGATGTTTTATTTTTGGATTCATTCATTTTACATCTATATGACTAGAGGCCCAGTGCATGAAATTCGTGCACTGGTAGGGTCACTAGCTGCTGTTGGCCGGGTACTCCCTTCTCCTGCGGGCCCACGCCCTGGTCAAACTCCCAGAATAACTCCGGTAGGGGGAACAATTTGCATACTCTGCTTTTATTATATAGGATTCTTAATATGTTCCAAGCATTGCTTAGTTTTTGGAATATAACCAGATACTTGAAGGTTTTTAATCCATAAGTCTGACGTGTCATTCTTTACCTAACCCGCATTGAATCCTAGCTGGTTTTGGTTCAGTGGATAGAGTGTTGGCCTGCGGACCAAAGGGCTCTGAGTTCACTTCCAGTGAAGTGCATGCACCTCGGTTGCAGGCTCCTCCCTGGCCTGTGCAGGAGATAACTGATAATATGTTTCTCTCACATCAACATTTCTGTCTTTCCTCTCTCTGAAAACCAATAGAAAAATATCAAGTGAGGATTTTTTTTTAATTTTTTTAAAGAATTGATATGGGCAGTGCGGGCGAGGCAGGCAAGCAGGGGCCGGCCGAGGCGATCGCCATGCGGGCCACCATGGCCACGGACGAGCTAGCAGCAAGCTGAGCCAGCGGCTGCAGATGGAGGGCGAGGGTGAGGGCAGCGGCGAGGCGCTGGGGAGCGCAGATGAGGAGCTGAACGCCAACTGCTGCGGCGCGCCGACCTCAACCAGGGCATCGGGAGCCCCAGTCGCCCAGCCGCCGCCGCGTCTTCAACCCTACACCGAGTTCAAGGAATTCTCCAGGAAGCAGATCAAGGACAAGGAGATGTTCAAGCAATATGATGCCGGCCGATGGCTTCATCGACCTGATGGAGCTCAAGCTCATGATGGAGAAACTTGGAGCCCCCCAGACCCTACTGGGCCTGAAAAACATGATCAAAGAGGGGGACGAGGACTTGGACAGCAAGCTCGGCTTCCGGGAGTTCCTCCTGGTTTTGCGCAAGGCGGCGGCCGGGAGCTGCAGGACAGCGGGCTGCCCGTGCTGGCCGCCTCTCCGAGATCGACGTCTCCACCGAGGGCGTCAAGGGGGCCAAGAGATTCTTTGAGGCCACCATCCAGGCCATCAACGTGTCCCGCCGCTTCAAGGAGGAGATCAAGGCGGAGCAGGCGCGGAAGAAGCAGGCGGAGGAGATGAAGCAGCGGAAGGCGGCCTAGGAGCTGCAGTCCACCTTCAAGTAGCCGGGCTGGGCCCGCCCGCCCGGCCCCCGCCCAGAAATCAGTCTGGCTGGCGAGGGAGGTTGGGGGTGGGGGGGCCAAGTAGAGGCTGAGCTGGGGTCCTGCCTGTGTCTGAAGGGACCATACTGAAACCTACAAACCTCTGTGAACACAGCCCGTCGAGGCTCTTGCAGGGGTGGCCGGGCCTCTCCAGCTCTCTGCTATGTTCCTGAGGCCGCGCCCCCAGCCCTGGCTCCCGGCCTGGCCCAGCCCCCTGCCTCTCGCACCCCTGGCTGCCCTTGCCTGCTCCAGCGCTGCTCTTGGCCCCTGAGCCTGCCACCCACACAACGCCTCTCCCTGGCACCTCCTCTCCTGCCCAGAGGCCACCTGCCCTTATCCCGCAGGCTGCACCGCCCCTTCCTAGACTGGGAGAGCGACAAATGGCAAGAATTTCGGCTGGCTTGTAGAGAGGGACCTTGGGGTGCTCCACGCCCTGCACCTGTTCCTCCAGCCCCGCCTCCTCCCTGCTGGCATTGGGGAGGGGGCGGGGCAGGGGAAAGGCTTCTATTTTTGTGAAGGGACCCAGGCCCTGACACCCCGCGCAACCCCAGTGCTCGGCCCAGCCAGGCAGGGTGAGGGGACAGCTGTCAATCCACCTCACTCTCCCAGCCATGGCAGGGAAGGCTCTGAGGGCAGAACACCACCTAGTCCCCCGGGGACAACCTGAGGGTCCCATGGGGCTCTGGGCCTTTCACACCCTCCTTCCCCAGAGGGACTTCCACCGCCTTGTCACCAGCAACGGGACTACCCTGTCACCTCCCACCCCGAGGAAACATGGGGACCCGCCCCCCTGTGCCACGCAGTCCCCATGTGCTTACTCACGTGTGTGCGTGTCTGTGTGTCTGTTGCTGTGTTGTGAAGCTGTGCCCTGCACCCAGTCCCAACAGAGGCCACAGTTATGCAACTTTTGGTGTGTGTCACGACAGCGCCCCTGCTGTTCGGGCGATAACTTTATTTTAGTAAACATGCCCCAAGAGTCTAAGAAGCTCCCGTGGACATGCAGAGGTTTTATTTTTTTGGCCTTAGAATCTACAGAAACTTGGGGGCACTGACCCCCTGCGGCGGCCCCCGCTCTGGATTGCGTTTGCCGTGGCAGATCTGTTTACACAGAAGAATATAAGTTCTTTTTCTTTGGCTTATTGCTTTTTTTCCCCTCCCTTCTCACTCCCCCCCACACACCACCATCTCCCCACCCCCAAAGAGCTACTTCTTCATTCGGTGGTACAATTTTTTTTTTTTTTAACTAAAATAAGATTTAAAAAATTTTTTTTTAATTTATATGGTTGCTTTTAGGTAAAGGAACCAATCTTCTGAAGTCTCACCACTCTGTTGTCAACACCTGGATGCCCCTGAGGGCATTTGATTTTGTGACCTCAGAATTAAGCCACCTCTGAGGGCTATCTACCTGATGCATATTTTGTCCATCTTCCTATTGACTTTTACTGAACTGAGATTTGATATAAAACTTATCCTCCTATGAGAACTAGTCCTGGGAACTTTAAGTAGGTCTCAGAACAAGAAAATCTGTCTGTCCCAAACAAAAGTTGGGTGTAGTAGCCCTGGCTTCATTTTTTCTGACCTGTATTTCCGCCTGACCTGAGTTTCCTCATTCTCTTATTTTTATCTTTTTACTGGAGGCCGGATGCACGGAATTTGTGCAAGGGGCTTGGCCCTCACAGCTGAGGCTGTGTCTAGAAGGTCGTCCGATCTAACTAGCATATTATGCTTTTATTATTGTAGATTACATCTATCTGCAAACCTGTGTTTTAATGAGTTGGAATGTAAACAAATAACCCTCAATTTGATTTATTATGATAGCATAAGACACTTCAGTTACATTTCTTGTAATGTTCCCTGATTGCCATATTCTAAGCACTTCATACAGATTTCTGTGGTGGCACTTTTTTTTTCTTTTTTTTTTTTTTACAGAGAGGGAGAGGGACAGAGAGCCAGAAACATCGATGGGACAGAGACATCGACCAGCTGCCTCCTGCACACACCCCACTGGGATGCGCCCACAGCCAACGTACATGCCCTTGACTGGAATTGAACCCGGGACCCCCCAGTCCACAGACTGATGCTCTATCCACTGAGCCAAACTGGTTTCAGCTCTGTGGTAGTCCTTAACAGTGTATTATAAATCACTTATGTGCCTACACATCTTAAAAATTTCTAGCACAGTAGTACTCGACTTGCATTTTGTTGAGTTAAAATAGTTGTTTCCTGCTAAAACCAGTTTGGCTCAGTGGATAGAGCCAAAGGACAGGACTGGAGGGTCCCAGGTTCGATTCCGGTCAAGGGCATGTACCTTGGTTGCGGGCATATCCCCAGTGAGGGGTGTGCAGGAGGCAGCTGATCGATGTTTCTCTCTCATCGATGTTTCTAACTCTCTATCCCTCTCCCTCTCTGTAAAAAATCAATAAAATACATATTTTTTTTAAATAGTTTTCTTCTGTAGTCTCAGATGCTGAAAACCTTGGCATACTTTTCAAACTATAATTAGTATAAATAATTATTGGAATCTTTTCAGTTCTGGATCAAAGTGATGCATGTTTATTTTTGAGAGAATGAAACATTTTCAAGATATAATGAAATAATTTGGTCTTCCTGCTATTTAGCTTCTCCTTAGAAGAAATCTTTTGTTAGAATAATTGTAAATCAGCTGGGACCAGTTTGGCTCAGTGGATAGAGCGTCACCCTGCGGACTAAAAGGTCCCGTGTTCGATTCCGGTCAAGGGCATGTAGGCATGTACCTTGGTTGCGGGCACATCCCCAGTGGGGAGTGTGCAAGAGGCAGCTGGTCGATGATTCTCTCTCATCGATGTTTCTAACTCTCTATCCCTCTCTCTTCCTCTCTGTGAAAAAATCAATAAAATATATTTTTTAAAAAAAGAATAATTGCAAAATCATATTGTAGAGTTAATCATTGAAATGTAGTGAAAGTAAATAAGGTTAACTCTGTTTCAATGAGTACTATTAAATATAGTTGTTTTACTTTAAAACACAGTATTGCTGATGTAGTAGAGAAATACACACTCCCATTGGTCAGAATAAAAAATGGTAAAAACTTTTATGGAGGGCAATCTGACAAGATTTCTTAAGACCTAACCTTCATATACCAGCAATTCCATTTCTAAGAATTTATCCTACAAATACTTGGGCATATGCATAAAAAAAGGTACAACTGTTTTTTATGTAGTTTTTAGATTAGCAAAACAAACATATAAATACATATCCATTTAAATGTATATGCTTTTATTTAGAAGTTTCCTAAGTTATTTAGATTTTAGAGCATTAAAGAGATTAATTTCAAAAATTATATATTACTAATTGAAAAAAGATATAGTGTTCATAGTATTCTGTCACTTATATGTATGTTTTATAGCATATACCCACACAAACATGCATATACACTGAGTGGCCAGATTATTATACTATCTGAATGTGTAATAATCTGGCCACTTTGTGTGTGTGTGTGTGTGTGTGTGTGTGTGTATTTTAGAGGCCCGGTGCATGAAGTCGTACATGGGTGGGATCCGGCCAGATTGGCCAGGGAGAGGGGAAATGGGCGGTTGGCAGGCCTGCCTGCTGGTCGAACTCTTGGTCGAGGAGACAATTTTCATATTAGCCTTTTATTATATAAGATGTACACTGAATGGCCAAATTATTTCGCACTCAGAGATCATAATAATCTGCCACTCCTGTATATGATTAGATGATCTTTTATATTTATTTTATAAGGATATATTTTATAAGGCTATTCATTTGCTTCTGGGAGTAGAAACAGTGTGAGACTGACATTTTTGTCCAGCACCTTTTCAATTTGGAACAATATGCATGTTTTTAAATTTAATTAACTAAACCTAAATATTAAGACATGTACAATAACTTAGATTTCTAAAATGTTTCATTTTCCTTTTTCAGCAAACTTCAAGGTTTTTGAGATTCTTGAACACCATTGAAGAAACAAAACTCATCGATTTTCTGCTTAATTTTATATTTTATGTAACTCTGATATTAGGTTATAATAAAATTATGGTAAACATTAGAATGTTGTTTAAATTTATATTTTATGAGATTTTGATACTATAATAAACATGATGGCATACTTTATAAGGTTTTATAGGAAAAATATTTTCTAATCTTTTAAAAATATGAAAATATGTATAAAGATGTAATCTAGTTATACATTTGCACCTAAAAACTGATCTTTTATTATTTCTATACTGGTCATTTTAATATTCATTTTAAGATATTTAAACATTTTTGGATCATTATTTTAGTTTAACATAGGTTTTTATCACCATAAGTCCTTAGTGTGTGTCTGACAATTTTAAAACTGTTTGCATTTCAAATCACAGAATTTATTCTAATGATAGTTGAAAATCTTTGTTTCATGATAATACTGTGATATTCATTACATAATTATCTTTTGGCACTGGAAATTTAAAAACACAATTCCCTTAGTTTTTACATTTAGAAGACATATTTATTTGAAGCAGCATGTTTTGACACATTGGCAGTAATTACTCAACATTTTTAGTTTGTGGTATTACAACAATAGCCCAGAAATAAATCTGAATGACAGGAATTTAGAGTACAAAGAGTGTTTCAAATTTAGGAGTAACCTAAATATTATAAAAAGCCTGGCATTGAAAATACATATTTTCTTGGAAATGAGCTCTTTGAGGAAAAGATAAGTGATTAAAAAACAAAACAAGCCAGGACCGGTTTCGCTCAGTGGATAGAGCGTCAGCCTGCGGACTGAAAGGTCCAGGTTCGATTCCGGTCAAGGGCATATACCTTAAATGCGGGCACATCCCCAGTGGGGGGTGTGCAGGAGGCAGCTGGTCGGTGTTTCTCTCTCATCGACGTTTCTAACTGTCCCTCTCAATTCCTCTCTGTAAAATCAATAAAATATATATTTTTAAATGACATTAAAGGGAAAATTCCTCAAGAAAATTTAATGTGAATGTGATAAGTGAATCAGCAGTTAAGGATGAAATGGTAATTTGAGATGAGGTTTGATGATGGAAAATTCAGGGAGAATGTCAGAAGAGGCCTGATATTAGAAAAACATGATTTAACTTTAATTTCAAGTAGCCTGGAAAAATTGAAATAAAAGTGAAATCAAGCCCCAGCTGATTTGGCTCAGTAGATAGAACATCAGCCTATGGACTGAAAGGTCCTGGGTTTGATTCTGGTCAAGGGCATGTACCTTGGTTGCAGACTCCTCCCTGGCCTGGGCCCTGATCAAGGAAAAATATCCTTAAGTGAGGATTTAAAAAAAAAAAAGTTAAATCAAGGCATAAGTTCAAAAGTTACTAGCTTACTTGGGGGAAAAATTATAATTTGAGCCTTCAAAGTGGTAGTGAAATAGACACAAGGTTGTTGGTCCAGTTATGAGAACCACAGAGCTAAATATGAAAGATGATGGGTAGAAAGTTATAAGTGTAAACTGAATACAGGGTGTCCCCGCATTCATTAACTCATTCATTTGGCAGACAATTGCTTCCATATATAAAGATGAGCTACTTGAACTTTTTCAGGAACACAGTTAATGGATAGAAAGATAGGGTGTATTTAGGAGTTAGCAATGTGAAATGAGATGAAACAAAATAATTATTTGAGAGCAAAAAAGTTGCCAGAACCAGGCAGTAAGTATCAGAATAAGATAAGATAGGAACTAGAATCAAGTGGGGATCAGCATCATCAGAAATGAATAGGAAGCAGAGGTCTGAATGAAGGGCAGCCCTGAAAGAATCCTGGGCTTCTCCTACAGGTAAAAACAGAGGTGGTGACCTAGCAGCATCCCAAAAAGGGAGAAGGAACACCACATAACCAGACATCCTGAGAAGAGAGGCCATGGGGAGACAAAAACATAGTCCGCACATGAAAGAAAAGCAGGCATCACCAGAAAAGGAAGTAAACGAGTCAGAGGTAAGCATCCTACCAGAGCAAGAATTCAGAATAATGATCATAGGATGGCTAGAAAGAATGGAAGAGAAATTTGACAATAACCAAGAAGAAATGAGGAAGAACCATGAGGAACTGGAGAAGAACCAAGAAGAAATGAAAAATGACATTGCTACCATGAAGAACTCAATAGAAAGCATCAAGAGTAGACTAGATGAAGCAGAGGACCACATCAGTGAGCTAGAAGATAAGATGGAAAAAAATACCCAAGTAGAGCAGCTTCTAGAAAAAAAAAGATTAAAAAGCAGGAGGAGAGCCTATGGGAGCTTTGGGACAATACAAAACAAAATAATATTCGAATAATAGGGGTTCCAGAAAAAAAGGAAACTGAGGTAGACATGGAAAAAGTATTTCAAGAAATAATGACAGAAAACTTTCCTGAAATAGAGAAAAAAAAAACCACACAAATCCAAGATGCTCGCAGAGTCCCAAGCAAAATAAATCCCAGAAGACAGACTCCAAGGCACATAATAATCAAATTGGCAAACAACAATGACAAAGTAAGAATCTTAAAAGCAGCCAGAGAGAGACAAAGTTTCATACAAAGGAACCCCCATCAGACTAGCAACTGATTTCTCAACAGAAACTTATCAGGCCAGAAGGGAATGGGATGAAATATACAAAGTCATGCAAAGGAAGGGTGTGAATCCAAGAATACTGTACCCAGCAAGGCTATCAATCAAAATTGAAGGGGAAATCAGGAGCTTCACAGACAAAAAAACACTGAAGGAATTTATCTCCACCAAACCAGCAATGCAAAAAATGCTAAAGGGTCTACTGTAAAAATAAAGAAATAGGAAGTGAAGAAGGATAACGGGTATAGAATAAAAATGGCGTCAAACGAGTACCTATCAATAATAACCTTAAATGTAAATGGATTAAATGCTCCAATCAAAAGACATAGGGTAACAGATTGGATAAGAAAGCAAGACCCATACATCTGTTGTCTACAAGAAACCCACCTCAGAAAAAAAGATGCACACAGACAGGGTGAAGGGATGGAAAAAAGTTTTCCAGGCAAATGGAAATGAAAAAAAAGCTCGGGTAGCAATACTTATATCTGACAAATTAGATCTCAGAGTGAAGGACATAATAAGAGATAATGAAGACCACTTCATAATATTAAAGGGAAGAATCCAACAAGAAGAAATAACCCTGGTAAATATATATGCAACCAATACAGGAGCAAAAAATACATAAAAAAAACTGCTGGAGGACATTGAGAGATTAATAGCAATACAATCATAGATTTTTTTAAATATATATATTATATATATTTTAATCTATTTTATTGATTTTGTACAGAGAGGAAGGGAGAGAGATAGAGAGTTAGAAACATAGATGAGAGGGAGTCATCGATCAGCTGCTTCTTGCACACCCCCCACTGGGGATGTGCCCACAACCAAGGTACATGCCCTTGACTGGAATCGAACCCGGGACTCTTCAGTCCCCAAGCCAACACTCTATCCATTGAGCCAAACCGGTCTCGGCATAGTAGGAGATTTTAATACGCCACTGTCACCCTTCGACAAATCATCTAAACAAAAAATCAAAGAAATATCAATCCTAAATGACTCACTAGACCAGATGGAATTAATTGACATCTTCAGAACACTCCACCCCAAAGCCACAGAATATACATTCTTCTCAAGTGCACATGAGACATTCTCAAAGATAGAGCACATTTTGGGACATAGGCAAAATCTCTTCAAATTCAAGAAGATAGAAATCATATCAAGTATCTTCTCAGACCATAATGGCATAAAACTGGAAATTAACTACAATAAAAATAATCCAAAGAAATCAAACACATGGAGACTAAACAGCATGCTATTAAACAAGGACTGGGTTACCAGAGAAATCAAGGAAGAAATTAAAAACATCCTGGAAACAAATGACAATGAAAACACAACAATCCAAAATCTATGGGACACAGCAAAAGCAGTTTTGAGAGGGAAGTTCATATCCTTACAAGCCTATTGCAAAAAACTAGAAAAAAGGGTAACGGATGATCTAACTCTACAACTCAAAGAGTTAGAAAAGGAGCAACAAGAAAAGCCCAGTGTAAGCAGAAGGAAGGAAATAACAAAAATCAGAGCACAGATAAAAGACATAGAGACCAAAAAAAACAAAACATAAGATCAACAAAACCAAGAGCTGGTTCTTTGAAAGAATAAACAAGATAGATGAACCTCTAGCCAGGCTAACCAAGAAACAAAGACAGAGGACCCAAATAAACAAAATCAGAAATGAAAGAGGTGAAATAACAACAGACCCTACGGAAATACAACGGATTGTTACAAAATACTACGAACAACTCTATTCCAACAAACTGAACAACCTGGAGGAAATGGACATATTCCTAGAAAAATACAAACTTCCAAAACTCGATCAGGAAGAATCTAAAAATCTCAATAGACCAGTGACTTGGGAAGAAATTGAAACAGTCATCAGAAAGCTTCCAGCAAACAAAAGCCCAGGGCCAAATGGCTTCACAAGAGAGTTTTACCAAACATTCAAGGAAGAACTAAAACCTATCCTCCTCAGACTATTCAAAAAAATCCAAGAGGAAGGAACACTTCCAAACTCCTTCTATGAAACCAGCATCACCCTAATACCAAAACCAGATAAAGACAACTCAATGAAAGAGAATTACAGGCCAATATCCCTCATGAACATAGATGCCAAAATCCTCAACAAAATTCTAGCAAATCGACTCCAGAAGAACATCACAAAGATCATACACCATGACAAAGTAGGATTTATTCCAGGAATGCAAGGATGGTACAATATCCGCAAATCAATAAACATGATACATTACATAAACAAATTGAAAGATAAAAATCATATAGTCATATCAATTGATGCAGAAAAAGCATTTGATAAAATCCAACACCCTTTCCTGATAAAAACTCTTAACAAGGTGGGAGTACAAGGATCATACCTCAACATAATAAAAGCTATATATGATAAACCCACAGCCAACATTATACTCAATGGGCAAAAACTAAAACCATTCCCTCTAAGAACAGGAACAAGACAGGGATGCCCACTCTCGCCACTCCTGTTTGACATAGTACTGGAAGTACTAGCCATTGCAATTAGACAAGAGGAGGAAATAAAAGGCATCCAAATTGGAAAAGAAGAAGTAAAGTTATCCTTATTTGCAGATGACATGATATTGTACATAAAAAAACCATTAAAAATATAATTGACTTAATAAATAAATTTGGCAATGTAGCAGGATACAAAATTAGTGCCAAGA